ACCTGAGCTCTCCCTGGGGTGGGAAGTGGCTGACAGGGGTCCACTGTACCAGAAATGAACTCTGAGACAAAACTTGGTGCTGTCCGTTGCCTTGGGCACTGCTTCTGCTCCTGACCACCCAGAACCTTGCCCCTAAGCTCTACCTCCTCCCAGCATGCACCAGCTAACCCTTCTCTTAGACCCCCAGCTGGGAATAGATGTGTCTGGGCAGATCCCATACCCAAACACAAGGACACGTACTCACACACTGGCACACATGGACACATATAGACAGGCACACATGAACACATATGTGTTTGTATACATACACACTTCAGTGATCATTTGTGGCTGCCAACAGAGAGTAAATTCAAGAGACACCCCTCTCTCTAGCATCTCCAGACTCACTGCACCATGAATTCCATGCCAACAGGCCTAATGGCTGACTGCTGACCCTTGGGGTTTGGTGGAAGGGAGCTCTGAAGTCATCCCTCTGTGTTCAGACTGGGAGCTCTAAGATAGAATCTCAGTATCTTACTCTATTCCCTGGAGCAGGACTGAAGCTCTTCTACTCCCTTCATTTCCCATGCTTCGGGTTCTTCTCGTGAAAGCCAAAGAGGTGTATCACATGAGCCTTCCTCAAGAAAGAACTTGTGGGGATGTGGATGTAGCTCTGTCAGCAGAGTGCGTGCTTACAATGCATGAAGCCCTAGGTTCAATCCCCAGCACCTCATAAACCAGGCCCATAACCTGAGCACTCAAAAGATAGAAACAGGAAGACCAGAAGTTCAAAGTCATCCTCAGCTACATAGCAAGTTTAAGGTCAGTTTGTGTTGCATGAGACCTTGTCAAAGAAAGAAAAAAAGGAGGTGGGAGAGGAAGGGAGGGAGAGAGGGGGGAAGGGAGAACTTGTCATTCAGCTCTGAGGAAAGCCAGAACTTCTAGCCGTATTGCCTTGTGTCTTGCCGTAGTGTGTAAAGTCATATTCTTCCCTGACAATCCTGCCCTCAACCAAGCATGCAGACTTCTATGAAATCTTTGCTCTGGAACCCACAGTCAGGTGGATGAGAGTTTCAGATCTATAGCACAGTCTGAGAATCTCACCCAGCCCCGCTTTCTCCTCCTTTACCTTTCACAAGAACCCCCTGCATCCAATAAACTTCCATTTTCCTAGATCCATCTTTGCATCTGCTTTCTGAAACACCTCAAATGAGACATCCATTGGTGGCACCAGCCCCTCTAAGGCCCAGACTTCAGGACAAAGGATGATCATTTCAAGAGTGGTCCCTGGGCTTTGTTGCTATACCTACCAGTCTGGACAAGGCTTCCCCAACTCCCTCTACTCCACGAACTTTGTTCCTGAGTGGAACTGCAACACCACTATAAGATCCCTCTGTCCCTTGCCAAGCAATGCTAGGCTCCCTAGAAAGCACAGTCCATGTCTACATCAAAATCACAAGCCTTGCCAGGCACAGTGATAGATGAGGGAGGGGGAGATGTATGTATGGATGGATGTCCACACTATCACAGAAGACCCATGAGGGATACTTCTTTAAGCATCTACCCAGGCCTCCCTGCCTTCTACCAAGCCATAGCACAAAGTTGAAATGCATTTGCACCCAGGAAGGACTAGTCCCCAAAGAAGGCACACCCTGAGGAGGCTGAGGCAGCTGTCAGCCACCATGGATATAGACCTAAAGGTATAAGTTCCTTCAACTCAGAGGCTCAGAAGTGCAAAGCTTGGCCCCATCCAAAGGGCAATGTGGATGGGTCCACTGACCAATCCCAGAGCAGTGGCTCCCCAGGGAAGGGTGTTTGTCACCTGGCCTTGGCTTGGCCCCATCACACAGCTCAGAGGCACTCTATGTTCCACAGCCACCCTTACTATTCCAGCAGAACCCACTGGCTCCTGAGCAAGAGCGCAAAGCACTGAATGAGGAGTTCTGAGAGGTGACTGAAGCCCTGGAGGAGGCGAGGGTGGCACACGCAGCAGGGATACAGCAGGCAAGAAGCCAGACAGGCTTAGGATGAGTAACTGCAGATTCTTCTGAGTCTGCTGTCACGGGGGATAACAAGTGACTGTCTTCCTCTCCCTGCTCCCACCTCCTGCATCAACTGCACCCCTGTGATTCTGGCAATAATCGGGGGGGGGGGATTGTGCAAAATCCTAGGAACAGGTTGCAGTGATCCAGGAACTGATCAGTCCTGCCCAAGGAGGACTCATGCAAGAAGGACTTGGGGGAAGAGAGAGCAGGAGGCCCAAGCTCTCCTCTCCAACTGGACCAGGGGCACTTGGGCTTTGGACAAGGTGGGAGAGGCCAAGTAACTGGTCCCACCACCTCAGGCACCTGCTCCCACCACCTCAGGAAGCGTGTCTATCCCACCTCTGCTTCTGATTTCTCTCTCTCCCCTCCCAGAACCCTTTCTTATCTCCTTAATAGACAACAGATGACCTCCTCCTCAGATTCCCCAAGATTCCCCGAGTGAGCCCATGGCTGATCCCCAGTGTCTAAGCACACAGGACATTGGGAAACAATGAATTGAAACATGATCAAGTGTAGCCTGAGTTCAATTTTTCGAGTTTTTGTTTTATTGTTTTCTTGTTCCTGATCCTGTCACTTCTGAATGTGTTTTGTGTCTTTCAGAAGGATAGCTCCCCCAGGGGAACAATCCAGAAAGACATAAGGTAACTTCCACTTTGAAAAATCTGAAGGAAAACTATTCTTCCTGCACCATCTTCCCTTCCTGGGGGGTTGGGTGGGAGGGCACCTAGAGATCCTGCCTGCCCCTCTCAGCTCTAGCCTGGCACCAGCCCTCCAGCCTCCAAATGAAGAGGGATCAGTGTGAACAGGGTAGCCATCCCTGTTGCTGGCCTTTCCTTCCATCCTATCCTACCCAGTCATCTGGTAAGGGTCCCAGGGCAAAATGGGCTCTGGCTCCCTTCTTTCCCCAACTCCTATCCCCCTCAATGCATCCTCAAGTCTCCACATTCTCTGTCCTCTGAGAGAGCAAGAACACTTTAACAGGCTACTAAGGTGAAGTGTTACTGTGTCTTGCTATATGGCCCTAACCATGTATCCCAGGCTGGCCTCAAATTCACAGCAGTCCTCCTGCCTCAGCCTCCCAAGTGCTGAGATCCCAGGCATTGTCCTCCAAGACCCACTTGAGGGTGGGATATTGTTATTCTGGGGGGGGGGGTTAATGCTCACATCTAGGTCTGAGGACACCATGCCATCAGACATGACTCCCCAGAATAAAGTTATGATCCCACTGCCCTGTTAAGGGATGGTGGCCTGAGAGGAGGGTACCCAGGGTCACAAGAAGGGGCAAGCCCTCTGGACTCACAATGGCTTCTGAAGTCCTGATAGCTGAGGAGCTGGCTGGCAACCACTCCTTCCACTGGTAAGTGGAATCCAAACCTCAGAAAGACATAGCAGTGCCATATCTGGAGAAAGCTGTGTTCAGCTAGCCTGCTTTCTAGAAGGAGGAATAATCCCAGGGTGTGCAAGGGTTCCTGAGTCTGCTTACCCACCTCTGTGCTCTAGCACACAGCAGGATTTGGCTCAGGATCTGGACTAAAAAGCGGGGGAGGAGACCCAGGCAGTTACGTTGGGATGATGGGAAGAACTAGAGGAGGGTAGTCAGAAAGTACCCCCCACCCTTCCAACCCCCCACCCCCGCCCCAAGCTAGCATAAATGGAGGAGGGCCGGGGTTCCTTTTCCCTGTTTTCCTCAAGGCCACACCCACAGCCCACATTTCCCCAGTTACAGGTTAGGAAGTTCCAGGCGAGTCCTCCTGAAATTCCTGTGCACCTACTTGCCGTAGGTGCCTGAATTCTGACCTTCTGCAAGCTGGCAGCAAGTCCCACTTGGCGCGCAGAGACACGCGGCCTCCTCCTGTTCACCGACTTCCTCCCCTCTATCCCGTCTATCCACAAGCCTCCTACACCCACGCAGTGCTGGCTTGAGCCCTAGGAAAAGGGACAAGACAGCCATCTGCGCTCCTTCCTTAAGAAGTTGAACCAGGGACTTCTCGCCCCCCCCCCCAGAAGCAAATGATCAGAGCCCGAAGGACAGGCGTTGGGGAGAGCGCAGCCAAAGGCCACCTGTGGCAGACCTTCCGGTGACTGGCAGCCTGGGTCCTGGCCCCTGGGGACTTCAGACTCCCTCCAGTGAAGCCAGGCAGGCAGGAGGAGGATGGGTCTCCGAGCATAGTCCGCGCCCGCGAGCCCCAACAGGCCTGTACTCCCCGCGCGAGGGCGCTGGAACCCGAATACCGCGTCCCTCGGGAGCTGGCCGCGTCCATCTCCAGGCGCACGCATGTGCAGTGCTGGGGCGCTCCCCGCTTGCCGCCCTTGTCCGGGAGGAACCTGCAGTCTGGCCTCTTCGAACTCCCGAGGTCGCGGACCAACGCAGCAGCGCACCCTGCCGGACCCGGGTCAAGTTCAGTCTGAAGCCGGGAAAGCTGCGGCGCTTTCCGTCCAGGAACTTGATCCGCGCGCCTGGGGCCCCCAGGATGCAGCCGTGGGACGCGGGGAGGTGGTGGCAAGGACTCCCGGAGCAGGCGGCTCGGTACTCAGACCTGAGTACAAGCTGCTCCGCGGCCAAGGGCGCCCCCAGGGCCAGAGGACCTGGGGCTGGGAGAGGTCGCGGGCGGCGTAAGGAGGCCATGCTAGGGCTAGAGCGTCGGCGCAGCGAAGCCTCCAAGGGCGCAGGCTGGTGAGCAGCTCCGGACCGCCACCGAGGTGAGCAAAGCTCACAGCATTCTAAGACTACCCACTCACTCCATGGGGGCACCCAGGCTCCGCCCTCTACCTGCACCGAGGCCCCGCCTCCGCTGCGCCATTGGCTGGACCCGCCGCTCGTCAGACGAGCCCCCGCGGCCCGCCCGAGCCCTGAGCTGTGCCTCTTACAGCCGGGTCTCCCGGCCCGCGCCACTCTGCTCTGCTGCGGGCAGTCCCGCGCTGCGCCACCCGCCTAGTCCGGAGCCGTGCCACGCCGCCGGCCGCGGGCCGGGGCGCACTATGCATCCTCCGACCTCGCCACCCACCCGCTGGCTGTGCGTGCTGGCAGGAGCCCTCGCCTGCGCCCTCGGCCCCATGGTGAGTGTCCGCCCAGCCTCCCGGATCCCGGGGATGGGGGTGCCGCGTGGGCGGCGGAGCTGGGGCCATCTGGCCGCTCCTCTGTGTAAGGCCACAGAGGGGGCAGTGGGAACCCCGGGCTCTCCTCTTCCCTCGGTCCGGGACCGGATCTAGCATGGGATCTACCAAGGCGTGGGAGCTAAGTGGCACCGGGTTTCTCCCAGCGCAGCCCAGAGCGCGCACCGCGAGGCGATCCCAGGCAGCGGGGAGGGGTTGGAGGAGAGCAGGAGCCCCAGACTTGCTTTGGGAGGGGTGATTGTGGGAGTGCGTGGGGAGAAGAGCCGTGCGCGAAGAGTCCGGTGAGATGGGAGATCCGGCAGACTGTGGGTGGGAGGGAGATTGTGAGGGTTCAGAGATGTGTACTTGGATGATGAAGTCCCAGCAGCGGACCCAGCGTTGGTGCCTGGGCCTAGGAGGTACAGTTGGGATCTGATGAGTGACGGGAAGTCTCCTTCCTGCACCCTACCTTCAAGGAGCACAGTTAAGTAGTGGAGAACAGGACGGTGGACTGCAGGAAGAGGTCCGGGCTAGTGTGCGGGGGAGGGGGTAGAGAACAGGTATGTATCAGAAAAAGCAGGAGGCCTCCCTCTGCCTCCGACCTCTGCTTCTTCTACTCATGGATTTGTATGTTTGCCCCAGTGTGTGGGTATGCTCTTATGGCTGTTGATGGCTTACCAGGGACACTGGGCAGTTGCTGGGTCACCTCATCTGAGAATGGGAAAGACCTCAAAACTTAGTGTCTACCCAAACCCATTTTGCAGAAGGGTAAAGTGGAGCCCAGGGACACCAAAGCTACCCATTCCTGTTCCTGCCAGTCAGTCTGGACAGAGGCTGATCTGCCCCTGCCCTGGGCCTTGAAAATTGTGGAGCTGTTGCTTCAACAGGGCCTAAAATGTAAGTAGGTCTCTGTCTGGGACCAGATCCAGGCTGCCAGGGACCAGATCCAGGCTGCTGGGAGGAGGGTGGGGAATCTGGTCACCTAGTTGGTTTTATCCCATGGCCACCTCTCATATTATCACTTCCACTGGGGCAGGAACCAGGTCATAAGTGTTTTACCTAGCTGGTTTCTTGCACATTGTGGCTGCAGGAAGCAGCTCATCCCCTAGCACAGATGTAGTCTTCTCAGAGTTGGCAGGTGCTGCTCCTCCTCTTCTCTCCTTGATAGCCCCATCTCCTCATACTCTAAGCTCACCAGCTCTGAACCTTAGTATCAGTCTCCAGGCCACACCAGCAACCCTCTAGCTCTCCCAAACCTGGGTCCTAGCTACTCCTAATTCTTTTGGGGTAAGCCAGAGGTCTTGAAACCTCTGTTGACTCTCTGGTCCTCTGTCCCTGGAGGCCTCTGAGCCCAAGGCACATTTGCCCTCCACCTAGACACAGACTAAGCCCAACTCCTCCAATACCTGCCCTCCCATCTTCCCACATCTTATTCATTCAGAACCTACTCCTCTAAACAACCTTCAGTGATTGCTTCTGACCTCCCACCTGTGATCCACCCTTCAGCCCTACTAGCCTCCCTGGGCTGTTCTGCCCATCTTGTAGGGTCAGAGTCACCATCCTCTTAGGCCAGTGCAGAGCTGGGCCCATAAAACAAGAAGGATCTTAGCCAGAACTGGACAGGGATTCCAGTTCCTGCCCTGTTCTGTCTCTTCCTCCCTTGTGGAACAGGCACCCAGTCCTCTTGCTCCAGCCAGACTTGGGGGTGGGGGGTACATGTTATCAGAGTCATAAAATGGCAGCTGCAAAGTTCATGTTGAAGGCCTAGAGCCTTATCAACTCCGTTTATGGGGCCCTGCCTCAGCCTGGGAAGGGAAATCTTTGAACAGGGAAGCCAAAAGAAAAAAAAAAAAGGAAGAAAACCTCCAGTGTTACAGGAGGAAGTGTCTTCCAAGCCCTTCCTTCCACAGCTCCCACCTCCTGGGCAGCAGACAGATGCCCAGTGCCACACTGGGGTCAGGCTGGGGGACATGAAGAAGAGGGACAGTCTGAGATCCTACCCTGGGGATATTGTCTGCAGGAGGAGCACATCATACCCAGTGACCCAGGAAGAAGAGCTCAGGGAATATGGGATACAGCCTCCTAGAACTGAGGGACAGAGTTGCTCTGTCCAACAGCTCCTTGTGGGAGGCATGACATTGCCCTGAAGAGTTTAGCCACATTGGCCAACCTTCCACCCCAGGCTGTAAAATAGCCTTTGCTAGCCTGATTCTAGAGAGTAGAGGGAGCCCCAATTTCCCAGCTGCCCTCAGACTCTAGATGGCTGGGATGAGGCAGAGTGTTGAGGGGTCAGGGGAGCTGGCTGCTCTGACTGCTTTCCTACCTGACCCTGAAAGCATCACCTTACCAGAAGTGTCCTTCCTGGACACCACTCTCAGCCTTACTAGGGTCTGTCCACTTCTGACCTCTCAAAGGCAACCCTGTGTGCTTTAGGAAACAAGGCTGCCGCTGGGCCAGGTCATCTTCTGAAGTGGAAAGACATCCTCTGTTATGCCTGCCCAGGACTCCTGGGGACCATGCTGAGCAAAAGGGCTCTCTTTCTAGAAGTTTCTGTCTTCCTAACCTGGAGCCCTAAGACTCAACCTTCTCTGAGGCTTCTATTCTGGAGCTGCAGCTTGGGACAAAAGTCCTGGTCCCCGCCCCACTGCATAGCCATGGCCAGCTGCCCTAGGGAACAATTTTAATCTCTGTGGAAGGCCCCAGTTTCCTCATCTCTGAAGGAATGAAAAAACCCTTGGCCCAGTGTGAGGAAGGAGTGGGAAGGTAGGACTGGGCTGGAGTCAACTTTACCTTTTCCCTGGGGCCTGATCTTCCCTGAGCCCCCAGGTCTACATGAAACAGGGCTAGCATCCAGACAAGACCTGTGTGAACTAAAGAAAGAGAGAGAGAGAGAGAGAGAGAGAGAAAGAAAGAAGAAAAGAGAGAGAGAAAAAAAGAGTGGTGAAAGTACTGTGGAACCTGTGTGGCAGGTCATCCCTGCCCCTTGGTCCCCCAGTCTTATCTAGCCATGGCAGGCAGGATTCATGTGAGTGGGTGGGTGGGTATCCCTATGAAGAATCCTCAACAGTGTGACAGAGCCTCTCAGAGAGAGGGTAGTGGGTAGTGGGACATCTTACAGCAAAGGCAGCCTTGGTGAGAATCCAACCTGTGTCCCACCAGTCTGTGGTTCCAGCCACCTTCCTGCCATCACCAACCCCTCCATTGTGCTCTCTTGGGTTACGGATGAAGGATGGAGCCTGAGAACTAAGAATTAAGGGAAGTCTTGTCCTTTCCTCCCAGTGTGTTTGCTCAACCTCTCTCTCAGATTCTGCCCTCCCATTTGGCTTCTCAACACAGAAGGTTGACATTGCACCCAGGAAAGCTACAGTACACATAAGCTCTCATACATCTTAGAAGTACTTCTGGAAGAAAAAAATTAATCTCTCCACAACATGTACAGTTAGGTTTTTTTCAACTGTAAAATATTTCAAACACAGTCAAATAGAAACAATAGCATAATGAAGCTGTGAGTGGTGGGTCATGCCTGTAATTCCAGCACACAGGAGGACTGAGCGTTCAAGACTAGCCAGGGTTACCCAGCAAGGTACATGCCAGCCTGAGCTACATAGTGAGAACTTTTCTCAAAAAAAAAAAAGTAAGACTAGCCTAATGAACATGTGAATACTTACTAAATCTGACATTTGTTAACGTTTACTATTTACATCGATGGCTTATTTTGGCTAAAGCAAGTTCAAGTCAATTACAGACATGCTGACCTTTTACCTCATAGTGCCTCTCTGAAACCAAAGAATATTTTCCTGTGTAAGGACATTATTGTCAGACTTAACACAATTTGAACGTTAGTCTCCCTCATATCCAATATTCAGATACTTCCGGACCACACTTAAGCATCACAAGGTGAATGGTGTCATTCTTTTTTTTTTTTTTTTTTTTTTTTTTTTTTGTCTTTTTGAGACAGGGTCTCCCTGTAGCCCCAGCTGTCCTGGAACTCACTATGTAGACCAGGCTGGCCTTGAACTCACAGAGATCTGCCTGCCTCTGCCTCCCGAGTGCTGAGATATGGTGTCATTCTTAAGGGTTTATCTCATCAGTGGTTGCTCCTGTCTGACTGATGGGACTAGGCTGGACAGTGAGCTGGCAGGTGGGAGGGGGGCATGTGCAGAGTGCACTGGCAGCAAGCATCGAGGAGGGCTTCCCAGGCAGGGCCAGCCCTCCATATGGTCTATTTTGTGTAGCTTAAGATATAGAGAACAGCATCTCTCAGGAAGTGCCTTCTCCTAGCTCCCTTCCAAACAAGTTCTTCCTGCATAGCAAGTCACTGGAAGAGAGGATGAGGTCACCAACCTGCATCTGTAGCTCAAAGACTCCCAGCCCAAGGCTCCTCAGCTGGCATTCAACCTTCCACGGTGATGCCAACTTCCGTATCACCACAGACACTGGGTGCGCTAAAGCCCGTTTCGCCAGGAGCACCCAAGATGACATTGAAGGGGCAGAGAGTTTGCATTGAATACAAGCTCTGAAAGGCCCCTGCCAATTTCCTACAAGTGCCCAGAGATGCATTGGGCTAGATGTCTCTTATGAGATTCTACTAATTATGAGAGCCCTTGTCCTGACACTACTATGAGCCCTGGGAAGTTCTATGGGTGTGTGTGTGTGTGTGTGTGTGTGTGTGTGTGTGTGTGTGTGTGTGTTTTGTTAAAAAGAGTAAGGTATTTTGTCACACACCTGTATCTCAGCACTCAGGAAGCTGAGGCAGAAGGATCACAAGTTAGAGGGTAAGCTCTGGCTACATAGCCAGCTCCTGTCAAGAAACAAATGAGAGATAGTAATAAAAGTGTGTCTGTGTCTGTGTCTGTGTGTGTGTCTGTGTGTGTGTGTGTGTGTTTAAAAAGAACTGGGCATGGTGACAGACACCTGTAATCTCAGCTCTCTGGATGTTTAGCCAGGAGGATTTCCAGGAGGCTGGTTTCCATTTGGGGCAATTACACATAATCAACCATATACATTCACAGGAAAGTTTTCCTATAAGCATATATTCTCTGCTTTCTTGGATAAATGTGTAGACTGGATAGTCAGATGTGTGCCATTACACCTGGCTTTTACAAGGGTGCAGGAGATCCATACTCAGGTCCTCATGATTGCAGAGCAAACCCTTTATGGACCAAGGCATCTCTCCGGCCTCCTGGAAAATGTTTATACCCCCAAGACAAACCTATATCCTGATTTCCCCCTTCTTCCTCACTTCACCTGAACACACACATGCCAGTTCTCTCTCTACTCATCTCACTCAGCCTTCCCAAAGAGGAACCATGGTTTGAAAACTGTGGATTCTGAGAGAAGAAAACTTTTTCTTCTTGGGAAAGGGGCATAACAATACAGGGAAAGGGAAGAGAAGACAGATGTACTGCGGATGAAGGGAGAAAACAGGCTCAAGACTCACCTCAGGAGGTAATGGCTGCTACTTGCCAGTGAGTAGGGCATTCAGACTGGGCAGCTACAAGGCATTAAGGCTGGGGCAGGCCCAGCCTTGCATGAGGACTGGGCTGGGGCTTTGGCAGTAACTGTTCCCTCTGCCACTACAGGTAGTAGGGTTGGTGTCCTTTGAATGTAACTGTCGGCAGGCTCTTAGAACTTGGTGCTGCTACTGTTGATCTCATTGTACAGATGTGTTTGGGTAAATTGCCAAAACCATCCAGCCAAGAAGTAGCAAACAGTCTGATCCAGAAATTGTGGCCTTCACCAGGCTTTGCCACCTCACCATAATGCTCCTTCTTCCAGAGGGAACTTGGTGTGCCACATGCTGCCCTAAAGTGCCACAGATCTCAGTGAATTGTAACCTGTGTGCACATTGTTGTGGCCACCACTCAGGTCAACATTCCTGTCAGGCTTCCTTGGGCCCTCACCATCAAGATGAGGTCTTTGTTTAGTCTTCTGCAGAGCTGAGGACATGTGCCTCCTCTATCCAGGTCCTCAGCTTCCCTCTCTGCCAATTACCATGTGATTTGGGAGTAGAGGGATTAAATAAATCTTGGCATGTGCTATGGTTTCTGTACAGGGCTAGAGAGATGGAAAATCGGATCACCCTGGAATCCTACCAACCACTGCCAATCCACCACCTCCTCTGATGGTCCCAGGTCCTATGACAAACCACAGCAGCACAAGGAATTCATGGTGACTCCCAGTAATTGGTGCCCTGCAGGCAGGACTCTCCTTCCTGCCTTTCATACTCCCCTTGGAAGCCAGCTATCCGCCAGACAACTTTTATCCCCTTGCACCCCACCACCTACAATATGGCAGGCCTTTGCAAAATGTGTATGTACCCTCCACCCTCATCCTCTTGGTCCACATCTTTGAATGTCCCCCATAGCCTAGGAATCAAAACTGGCATTCAAGGCCCTTCCCAAGCCAACCCCTACCTGCATCCCCTGAATTCTTACCAAATGCCCCTAGAACTCCTCATGGTAGCCACACAAGTCTTCTTGCAACCTTGAACATGGTGGGGATTTTCATGTGCACACCCTGGGATGCTGGCTCCACATTGGTTATCTAATTCTTTCCCATTTTCCTTGAGCTTTCTCTGTGACCCACACTAATGCCCCCTTTCCAGCTTGATCCCACTCTGGAGCTCAGCCAGGGATCAGCAGACTTGGCTGTGTTTGGCCAGGAAATTTTCCTATATCCTCTGTGTGCCTGGACTCCAAAGGGATAATGAGGATGTTTAGAAAAAGGAAACTAGTGGGAGAGGAAGTCCAAAGTCTGCCTGAATTCCTCAGTGATAAGGCTAGAGGGAGCACCCTGGTTCTGTCCTCCAAAGAGCCATAGTTGATCAGATGGCCAAAGGCAAGGGCCCGGCAAAGGATTGATGCTATGTAGACTGGGGTCAGAGATATGGGTCCTCTCTAGGAATGTGATTTGCTGGGTGGCCTTGGGTCCTTCTCTAAGTCACTATTTCCCTATTGCTCAACTAAATTTTGGCAAAGATAGTTTAACTTTTGCATGCCATACTTCCTTTTGATTCAGAGCTACCCAGAGCTCCTGATTACCCTGGGGGCTCTTGGACCCCATAACTCTCTCCTCCACCCCAAACTGAACTCTGGGGCTATGCTGCTGGGCAGACAGTCGGATGGTGTAAGCCAGTGTTCTCCTGTCAGATAGTGGCAGGAAGAAGTGGCCAGGAACTTACATGTCCCACAGTGATTCAAAAAGGACTGTCTTAGGCTAGGGCAATGACTGAGTTGGTAAGGTGCTTGCATGCATGAGAACTTGAGTTAGACCCCCAGAACCCATGTGGAGAAAAAAAAAAAAAAGGCTGGGCGGATAGTACAAGCCATTGATGGGAAGGCAGAGATGGGTAGATCCCTAAGGCTTGCAAGCCAGCCAGCCCAGCTTATTTGGTGTGTTCCAGGCCAGTAAGAAACCCTGTCTCAAAAAGAAAGGTAGGGGCTAGGCAGCCGCATTCAGAGACAGAGGCAAGTGGATATCTGTGAGATCTAGGCCAGCCTAACCTACATAGCAAGTTCCAGGCCAGCTAGGGCTATAGGGAAACCCTGCCACAAAAAAACAAACAAAAGAATAAGGTAGATGGCACCTGAGGGGCAATGCCTGAGGTTAGTCTCTGGACTCCACATGTGCACGTATGTATATGTGTATATACACACATACACATATGGAATACCTCTTGGCAATTCATGTGGCCATCACCCTGGCTCACAAGGACCCCAGAAGTGAGGACAAGTGTTGTCTGTCCTTAGATCACAAGGCTGGACACTTTGGGTTATAAGATAGGAAATTTAACTGGCTTAAGCCATAATCAGAGCTATTGGCTTGGGTTGTGGGAAGAAGAGCTGGCTTCAGGCAGAGCTGCCTTCAGGGGCTCCATGTCAAGCAGATCTGTGTTTTCTCCATGTCTGTCATGCTTTCCACGGAGTGGCCTTCATCTTCCTGTTCTGTTTGTCAACAAGATCACCAGAGGAGCCCCAGACCCTGGTCCTTTGAGGTTTCTGGTCCAGTAAGGAGAAGTAAACCCACTTGCCTTCTAGCTTAATCCAAAGTCCCAGGAGTGTGAGCCTTCTGGCTCAGAGGAGTGTGATTTGGGCCATGTGCCAGGCACTGAGACTGGGAATGCTCCGATCGCCTTAAGTCTTGGTCATACATGTCCCCTACCAGAGGGTTCACCGGGAGCAGGAAAGAAAGAGGATTTTAAGATGAGAACTGGGCAGTAGAAGAGAGTAGAGTGGAGGGTATGGGTGAGGGGTGGGCAGAAACAGCAGGTACCACACTGCCCACTGCTTTTGTGCCAGGAGAGAGACTGTCAGGAGAACCCTGAGAGGCTGGGATGGGACCAGAAAACAGAAGGAACCGGCTTCTGGTAGACTGGGAGAAGGAGAAGTGTGCTTTTAGACAAGCCAGATGGAACAGTGATGGACACAGTCAAGGGGCCACCTCTGGGATCCCTCTTGGCCACCTCTCTCACCATACTTACCTAAGGATGAGCCAACCATGGATCCCTTAAACCATATCACCACAAGCATTTCAGCTGAAAGAGGGGAAGCCCAAAGTCCCAAGGAGGACACAGGCACAAAGTCTCCTTCAAGTCACATGGCTGTTCCATGCTCTGCGATGGTCCCACATTACTTCCTATATGTCAAGTTGTCGGCTAGCAAAGTTAATGGTCTAAGATGGGACCTATGTTTGCTGTATAACTCCAGGCCATCAGCCCCTATGCAGAGAAGACCTGGATGCTCAGATAGTGTGAATGAGGTGGCCAACCCCTGGGCCTGGGCTACGACAGCCATGGTGCTAGCTGCATATGGAAAGTTGGACCACAGGTGACCACAGGAACAACAAAGCAGCTAGACTCCTGCATTCTGCCCAGGGCAGAGCCTGGGATCTGCAGGCCAGGATCCAACTTAGCAGAGAAGCACTAACAGGGTCCCATCCATGCAGGGAAACTGAGGCAGGGACAGAGTAGTGGAACCTAGTAGTAGGCTCAAGACTCTAGGTAGAGGCCCTTTGACCTCTGCCTGGGGCTATGTCCGTGTCTCCCCCCCCTCCCCCCATCAGAGTCCTTATAGCAGCAGCATTACTCAGGAGCCAGGTGGCCTGAGAGCGTCCTCAAGGCAAAAGCAGGGGCACAGTGACAGCGTTTGGGGCCTTGCAGGTCAGGATTGGGGTATTGCCTAGGGCTAAGGTAGAGTACAGCCTGGGGTTGGGATGGGGCTAAGTCTGGGCCTGTGATAGGTACAGACTGGGGCTAAAATAGGGATTCAGTCTAGGACTAGGATGGACATTCAGTCTTGAGCTAGTATGGGGTTCAGACTGGGATTGGAATTCGGGTTCAAATCTGGGGCTAGGATGGGAACTCTGTATAATGTTAAGATGGAAGTCCAGTCTGGGGCTGAGGTAGGGTGCAGATTCAGGCTAGAATGGGAGTCCAGTGTGGAACTCAGATTCCCTGGGTGAGAACTGGTTCAGTCTGGGCTGGTCCTGCTTCCTGGGCTGGCCTTTTGTGGCTCCCTGCTCCTGGAGTCTATGCATGACAGCATCCCCTTTCTGTCTCTGTCCGCAGGGTGGCCAGGCAGCCAGGCTGCAGCATGAGTGTGACTACCTGCAGTCGATCCAGGTGCAACACCAGCAGTGCCTGGAGGAGACCCAGCAGGAGAATGAGACCATAGGTGAGGCCCCTGGGAAAAAAGGAGCCCCATGTCCACTCAGGTCTAATCCAAGCCACATATCTTCACCTTGGCCACTCAGATGGGGATCACAGGCAGAGATCACACCATGAAGCTGCCCGGTCTGAGGCGAAGTCAGGGGACAGATAGAAGGGGATTCCATGCTTTGCTGACCCTGCCCCGGGTCTGGGTTGCTCTCAGCTTTAAGCTGAAAACAATGTGCTAAACTAGGACCCTGAAAAAGCAGCCCCCAGCCAACTCTGCCATTGCGGGTCCAGGAAAAGTCAAGATGATTCCCATGGCTGCTGGCCCATCCAACATGGGTGGCCTAGGGTATTAAGTGGTAGAAATTTACATGCTGGCAGGGGGCTGGGGGCTCCCAGGCCCCAGCCTCCCACCATGGAAGCACTCCTGATCAACTTCCTCAGTCCCTTACTTAGGCTGGAGTCAGAACTAGACCTGGCCCCTGAACTCCATGCTCTGGGATGAGACTGTTGTACTGTTAGTATCTCAGAAATAGGGTGCTCATTTGCAAAATGTCACCTATCACAAGGGACCACACAGAAGCTCAGAACCATGTCGGCATTCCAAAACAAGGAGTAGGCCAATCTGAGTAGGTCTCACCTAGAGGGGAAACTGAGGCCCAACTGCTTCTCAACCCAGAGTTCTGCTGCCACGACTCTCAGAGGATAGAGACAGAGGCACATATAGATGCCAAGGCCCATGTGAGCAAGTACATATGGTATCCACAGGCACACACAGTGCACATGCACCCCTAAGTCATATGGTCGCACTCTGATCTTCTCTTCCCAACCAACCTTCAACAGGTCAGGAAGTGGAGGTCAGCCTTGGAGGCTGAGCACATGAGGGTTCCTACTGCTCCTCTTTGGTGGTCTCAGGGTCACACAGCCTGGCAGTATGAGAGCTGCCCCCAGCTGCTCAGATCCAGCAGCAGGCTCTCAGGACAACTGTCAGCACCTTCTACTTATCTTGGTGGCCCAAGGTTGAGCAGATTTGGAAAAGTGGGCAGGTCTGGGGAGGCAGAGAAGCTGGGAAAGCGGGAGGCTCAAGGCTAACTGTGGTAGGGAAGAGCTAGCATGGAAGGACAGAGACAGAGAGGCAGCTGGGCCTCCTTTGGGCCTCAATCCATCTCCTGAGGCTGGGCTTACAGTCATGCAAGGGGATCAAGAAGCACCTGTCCAGCTTGCTGGCTCCTGGGTCCTGACACCACTATGAGGCTGTTATGCAACCCCTTTTGGGGTACTCCTTGACCCTGGGGCCTGGCCCTAGTCTCCTGTGCTCAAGAGTACATGTGGGTATGTAGCCTCTCTCCACATCTCATGGAAGGGTGACCCCTGACTTCTATGGCCCAGAGACAGAGGCCTGGGTGCCTATGTGCCTACTATGTGCCCCACCCTACCCTGCCAAGACTACAGACTTCACCTATAAGTACAGGCCTCAAGATCATGGGGAGGCCTAAGAAGCCCAGACTCTAGACCCTAGACCCTACTGCATTGCCTGTGAACAACCCTCCAGGGGGATAGACAAGCCACCCTCATAATCCTAATGAGGTCAGTGCTGGCACAGGGTGCGTGTGGAGCGTCATTCCCTGTCACTCGGCAACCAGCCTGAGATCTAGAGGAGGGCAGGCATGGGTCTACAGGCTGTGAGTCTGCCCTGACTTCTGTTGGAGCTCTGTGCGTGTTCCATGCATGCAGGTGGGTGCTCCAGACCCATGTCTATCTGGGACTGTCTGGGCCTCTGAGGTCTGTCACTCTGTCTGCTTCTGAGTGTCTCTGTGATTTGGAGGCCTATGTCTCTTTAAACTGGAATGTACCTGGTGTGTTGTGTTCTCGAGTGTCTGCCTGTAAGTGTATCTGTGTGAATGTCCACAGTCTACCCATGTCCGTATCTGTGTATCTCTCCATGCATGCCCATGATTGTGTGTGTGCATATGTGTCTGGGGTCAGTGTGCCTGTGAATGTGTATATCTTTGTATATAGGAAATTCTACAAGGCTGATTCACTGGGAGCTTCTTCCCTCCCTGTCTCTCCGTTCTTCACCTTAGCCTCTTGGCTGGGTTTTCCTGTCCGGGGTCCTAGGCCCGAGTGGGCACATGGGAAAAATTTCTAGACCCACGGGTACCAAGCATTTTTGTGACTGTCATTCCTCCATGGCTTTCTGACTCTGCTGCCCCAGCATACCCCCTCTGAGTCGCCTCCTGCAAGGTGCCTCCCCACCCAAAGCCCACACAGCCCCCTTCCTTGACTCCCTTGCCTGCTCTCTGTCCTGCACCCAGCACTAATTCACAGCATGACCTTGGCTGTGCTGAACTTCTCTGAAGCTAAGTGCACCCTCCCCCAGGGCAGGACCCAGTCCCCTTCCCTTCTATCCCACCTCTGGCAAAACTTTGCACAGGGCCAAAACCCACCCCCACACTCCAGCCCAGGCTGGCAACTCTGAGAGCTCAAGGTCTGGCGGGAATCCAGATACAATAGCTGGCCTGCAAAACAGGGTGTGCCCAGCACTGTCAGCAAGGGTACACAAAGTCCAGCAGCAACCAAATTCCTAGAGAAATACCACCAAGCCCTGCAGACCAGGAGAGGAGCATGTGACTAGGTGAGAGACTTACCAGCAAAGTGACTCCGGTCATGCCTCATTCTGCCACCTCTGTTTCCTCATCTGTGAAATGGACTGGTTATATAAGCTACTGATTTAGAAGCTAGAATGATTTTGGAACATTCCAAAGCTGGTGCTTGCTGATGTTTTTAAAACAGGGTCTTAAATCATGAGCAGGATTTGCTTGGCCTAAGGGGCACCTATAGGTCCTCCTGGAAACAGAAGAGAGACTGGAAACCAGAGCAAGACCATGGGGTTCTCAGGGACATTTAAAATGATGGGGCCCACAAGAAGAGAGGCTGCACTCTGAGGCCAGGTGTCTTCCTCGGCCTTCAGCTGTAGGTGCCACGCAACTGCTACAGCCCTAAAAGTTCCCTCCCCCTGCCACCTCCCTCCCCTTCTCTGCCACCCCACCTCACCAGCATTGAGAGTCTCGAGGTCCTTTCTGAGTGGGTGCATCCATCCCTCCTCTTCCCAGGCCCCTTTCTTGGGAACTCAGGAACCTTCAGACCTGGGCTGGGCTGGGCTCAGCCCAGCTGGCATTGACTTTGGCTCTGGGGTTGGTTTTCCTGAGCAAATCTATGGAGCCGGCAGTGTCGCAAAGAGACAATTAAGCCTCCCTGAGGAGAGGGATCCAGAGGTGTCCTCATCTCCCCCAGGAGGGCACCTGGCTTTGCATTTGGCTAGTAAAGCAGACCTCTTGGAGACATCCCTAGGCACCCTCACCTGCCAGTCCCTGAATGCTAATAGATCTTTGCTCACAGCCCACCTGAGCTGGGGACCTCCACACTGCTTTACAAGTTCTGTGAAGAACTATCTGTCCCTAGAGTGCTCATCACCCCCTTGTACCCAACATCTTACAACAAATATTTCCAGTACTGCCTTTACTATTATAAAATGAAATTCAGAAGGTGCATACTCATGTTTTAAAACAACAATGATCTCTAGTATATCCTCTTAGGATGAGCCTTGCTTTTTTTGAATGTAGAATAATCACCTTGTTTGTGTCAGGAACAAGGGCTTGAACAGCATGGTGAAATTGCTCAAAACTGCTGCTGGTAATTTGGCAATATAAGATTTGGAAATCTAAATGCCTGTTTTACAAATCATAAAACGAAGGCCACTCATTGTGCTGCCAGAAATATATATATGATGTTCTATAAAAGAAAAAAAAACAAAAAGGAGAGTGGTTTATAATCGAATGCCATGTCCATGTGCAGGCGTGATGGCAGTAAAAGATAACAAGAGGCAGTATGAAGGTTGTGCCTATAAATATCAGCACTGGGAATGAGAGGGCTATAAAGGCAGATTGAACTATACAGCCTGTACTTGTCACTGACTTCACACAGCGCTGCTATAAGTGACATAAACTTCCAAAACTTTTAACAATTCTCAATGAAGTTCAGAACAAAATGAAATCTAGGCTTCGGGCAATTTTCAGTGATATATTCCCAGAAAGCACCAAAGAGCTGAATCTTCTACTCTGAGTACCTTGGGTTTATTAATAAGATGGAGCCAGAGCCTCAGCTCTGGTCATTCCAAAAGAGTGACACCTGTACAAGTGCTCAGTGGCACATCCAAAAATCAGTCAGAATGAGAGACAGTTCATTATCAGGCAGAACCAGCTAGGCTACCTTCCTGACATCTCTGGTGCCTATCTGTCAAATGCCAGTTGAGGGCTGGGGATGTATCTCAGTCAGCAGAGTGCTTACCTAACATGATCCTTGGGTTGGATCCCCAGTACCACATAAGCTGGGTGTGGTGGTACATAAGCAGTACATAACTATAATCCCAGAACTTGGGAGGCGGAGACAGGAGGATCAGGAGTTCAAGGTCCTTCTTAGGGCCAGCTTGGACTACAAGAGACCCTGTCTCTTAAAAAAAATATATATGTGAGGCCCCAATACTGAGGGACCCTTCATTGTTCATGGAGGAAGGACCTCTCTCCTCTCTTCATCAGCACGGGACCTGGGCAGGCAGAGACTCTATGAGGACAGAAACCCCTCCAGGCTGGGCCTGGCAAGAGTAGGAAGAAAACAGTCACTGTGCTTATCTAGTGATATGTCCTTACCCCCACAGGCTGCAGCAAGATGTGGGACAACCTCACCTGCTGGCCAGCCACGCCTCAGGGCCAGGTAGTGGTCCTGGCCTGCCCCCTCATCTTCCAACTCTTCTCCCCAATTCATGGTAAGAGCCCTGGGCTGAAGAGCAGAAGCTGAACCATGTGTTGTGCATGGGGCCAAGAGAGGGGCTTACCATTCAAGGAAATGAGAAAGCCTGGGCAGAGAAACCCGGGGCGGGTGGCAGCAGTTCCCTGGCCAAGGAGGCCATGGCATTGGGTCTTTGGAGGGATTTGATTAGCGCTTCACATAAAGATAAGTGTGTGGGAAGGGCTCACTAAATATTTGCTCAGCAATTGATAACTGATTGACTGACGGGTCTGATTGAGTTATGGCTCCCATGTTCCTGTTGTCTTGGTTGTGATTCAATCTGTTGTGGCCTGGAGCAGATGACCTTTGGGGCCCTGGGAAACCACCACACACATTTGCTGACACACCTTGTCATGTTCTATTTGAGTAAATGTTCACATATGAGACCAAAAGGAAAGGGAGCCCTGTAGGATTTGTAGGGCATGCTCAGTCATTTATTTAGTCAGTGGATAAGTACCTCCTGTCACACCAAGCACACACAGTGGGAAGAAACCTTGGAAGCTGCCACCTGCCTGCTCTCTGGGAGCCCTGGTGCTAGCTGGAGACACATTTAGTGAGACAATGAAAAAATTTATCATAAACAGGCAGAGGTGCTAGGAGGAGGAAGAGGAAGGTAGGGACACCATAAGCAACCATTTACACAATAGGTGGCGGGCCCTCTGCTGGTCTGAGTGCCTGAGGGAAGGAGGGACCACTAGCACAGATCCTGTGTCGGGGCAAAGTGGGGAACTACAGCCCATGGAGCAGCATTTAAGGATCCCAGCAAAGGAAGGCTATGTGCCTGGAGCTCAGGACCTCCAGGAGGAAAGTAAGGTGGGCAGAGGCCAAACCCTGGGCTCTGATCTGAATGGAGTTGTGTTCTAAGGTGGTGAGGGAGGACTGATGAGGAGCAGGAGGATATAGGACTGATGAGAGGAGGAAGATGGGGAACTGATGAGTAGGAGGATGGAGGACTAATGAGGAGCAGGAGGGTGGGTGGTAGGACTGATGAATAGGTGCATGGGTGGGTGGGGAGGAGTAAGGGAAAATCCGGACTAGGTGGGAAGGAGTGGTGAGGAGCAGGACCCACCCAGATTTGAATCTCCAAGTGAGCAGAAGAATTCTTGGGCATCTCATTCCTGGTTGATCTTTTCCTCCCTAGATCCTAGCTTCCCTGGTGATGAAGTGGGGACAGGAGGTGGGCCAAATGGACCTTTTGGGGTGGCTAAACTGGCTCCTATACTTGTGATCCACATGGTAAGGAACAGATCCAGCCTCCCTCCCAAGGGGTTGGGGAGCAGCCAGGGCATGCCTCAGGGGACCCTCCTGGATAGGTAGCAGGTGAACCTCCAGTAGGTCCCCAGCAGCTGGCATCAGGCATCTCTCCCATTCCGGGAGGAATCTCCCAGGTCAGCTCTTCCTTCTGCCCATGTTGGAGTAGGTCCAGACAGCTCCTCTGTCTAGGAACCCATACTTCAGTGCACCATCTGGTTAACCCCAAGGCTGATGGCCTCAGTGGACTCAGTCTGGAGCCTTGTGCAAACCAGAACCAGCAGTTCTTCCTCAGACACAGTCAACCTATCCCCAGAATTCACCTGAATATGAAGTAGATTTGAGCCCCCATTATCCAACAGCCAGCTGCCTTTGTGCCGTGAACAACCGACATGACTATACTCAGTGAATCCAGTTCTGAAGATGATGGAGAGAAATAGAAAACTGTGGCCTGGAACTGAATATGCATGAAAGAGAGTGGATGAGGAGGGTGTAAGCAGCTGGATTTCGATTCCAGGGAGAGCATTTGTAAGAGTAAAGATGTTAAGCCAACTCCCACTCCTGCCCTTTGAGGTAGCAGGACTGAAAGCATGCCCCCCAAAGAGAACCTGGTTCTTTAGGAAAAGCTGAAGAAATCTTATGGAAGATAAAAGCCACAGAGGAGTAAAAGGAAGTCAAATAAATAAATAAAACTCAGACTGAATAAAATACCTGGAGGAGGCTGGGGTGACGGCTTAAGTGGGTAAACTACTCTTGTTGTACAAGCATGAGGACGTGGGTTCAGATCCTGAGAGCCTATGTAAATCTGGACATGGTAGAATGCATATATCATCCCAGAGCTCAAGATAAGAGAAACCCTGGAAACTGGTGAGCCAACTAGCTGGGCATGTGCAGCAGCAAACAACAAAGAGCCTGTCTCAAAGAAGGTGGAAGGTGAGGACAAACACCAGAGGTTGTCCTCTGACCTCCACATGCACACTATGGGGGCACACTCAATTGACTGGGCAAGAGATTTCTCCTCAGGGGATCAGAATGTCTGTGGTAGCATGAATTAAAAAAATTAGGGCCTGCAAGATGGCTCAGTGGGTAAAGGTACCTACCAACCAAATCTGACCTGAGTTCAATCCCCAGGACCCACATGTTGGAAGGAGACAACTGACTCCTGAAATTTGTCCTCTGACCTTTACATTTATGTCATGGCACATACATACATGTGAACACACACACACACACACCAACTAACTAACTAACTAAATAATTGTTTGGGTTGAGAAAATACAGTCTGTTAGCAATGCCTATGGCTCTATGGGACACGCCTGTCCCCACCACCTACACCAGGATGCTGTCAAGAAATTCTTGTCTTTCTTTTTATTGTTGTTGCTTGTTTGTTGAGACTGCCTCAAGTAGTCCAAGATGACCTTGAACTCTCTGTGTAGTTGAGACCAGCCTGTACCTCCTGATCCTTCTACCTCTACCCCCCAAATTCTGGGATTACAACCACTGTCCCTAACTTAAAATTATACATTTTTTTCTATTACTGGGCATTTTACACAGGCCAAGCAAGCACTATATCTCCAGGCCTATGAACAAGAAATTCTTGATGTCAGCCTAAGAAATCTACGCTCACTGGTTGCCCTAGGCAGATTTCAGCAGGGAAACTCATGATGGGGTCTACATGCTAGAACTTCGTGTACAACTGTCTCAGGGTTCGAAACTGGTTGGAGTCAGTAGGAAGGCAAGGAGATCCATCTGGAAGCTTCTGCCTAAGCCAGGGGAGTTAGGATGGTGATGGCATGGAGGAAAGGAAGCTGGGACAGGACTGGTGGCTGCTGGGGACAGGAGAGACGTAGGGAGAGAAGGATTTCCCGATGTCTGCTCCAGCTTTAGGAGACAGAGGACCACAGAGCGGGGAGTGATTGTCTTGAACTGTGGTAAATGAGAGGAGACTGAGAGAACAGGGTAACCCCTCCCACTCCACCACCTTTTCCCACTTCACTACTACCCCGTTTCCTCTGAAGGCCCAGAGCCAGACTACAGGGACCTGGCTACTTCTCAGAGTTTCAGGGTGGTGGCTTTGAGGTCTCCTCAAGAGCAGCTCCCTCTAAGGCCTGAACTACCATCCCATCCCAGGGTTCCTGAAAGAGGCTATCCAGCCTTGAAGATGGTCCACTGTACCCTCACCTCCCTCACCATCCAAGACAACCAGGGCCCCAGGGCACAAGGTACCCTTTTGACTGCTGTTGGAAACCCAGAAAGATCTGGAGTCAGGCTGGCCCAGGGCCACATCTCTAGCCTGAAGCTTCATCACTGTGTGGCTGCAGACACATCACTTAACTCCTCTTTGTCTTGAGATCCCTATCTTTTAGCAGGACCCACAGAACGCCTAACCTTACAGGTGTCCATGTTGATATCTGCCCTGTCTCTCACACACGCACACACGCACGCACGCACACACACACACTCCCAGGGCGTGTGATGTTGACCTTCTGCAGTCTCCCAGACTTGACAGTATTATTCATGACAAGAACTTGTGCCTGCCTATCACAGGGCCTGACCTCATTTGAAGCCATCAGGATGATGGAACCCGGGCCTGGGAATGCAGCTCAGTTAGGTAGAGTGCTTGCCTGGCATGCATAAGGCCCTGGGTTCCATCCCCAGCTCCATATAAACTGCGTGTTGGCACATGCCTATAATCTCAGTCCTCAGGAGGCAGAGGCAGAAGATCATGGGTTCAAGGTCATTCTTGGCTACAAAGCAAGTTCAAGGCCAGTCTGAGCTGCAAGAAACCCTGTCTGAAAAAAATGTGGTAAAGCTGATGATGGTGCCAGAAACAGACTGACAATTCCTCTTGATGGCTGATTGTTGGCAAACATGGGCTCTTTTATTCCAATCTTTATTATTAACATTAAGTAACTCTCAGGTCACAATTACACTTCACACAGGTATATACATGGAAGTTACAGAATTGCTACAAAGGGGTTAAAGAGGCACAGAATTCAGACTCCTGACCAGAAGCAGAGCTGACACAGAAACAGAAAGAAAGTAAGGATCCCAGTTGGAGGACTCCCAGAGGCACAAAGCCCAGCCACAGAGTCCATCCCAACGTAGAGGTGCAGGACCTTTGAGGGAAAGCATAGGACCAGATGGCCAGATGGGCAGGTGGATGGATATACAGATGGATGGCAGTTTGAATTGGCTGTGCCAAACACGGGACCATGCTGAGCTGCAGCTGCAGGACCAAGAAATTGTGTGCATGTCAGTCTCTTGACACACACACTGGTGGCCAGATGACAGGTCAGTGGGGCCATCCTAGAGCTAGATGTCCTGCTCTTTATGGGGTCCAGGTGAGGGTGTTACATGCTTCATTGGTTTGATATGTTTTGTAAGTTTTGCCTGGTTCTTCTGACATGCTTTTTTTTCTGACATGCTTTTAATACCCCTATGGGCTCCTACTTTCCCAATCTACTTTGATAAATGTATAATATGGCTCCCTTTTGTTTGTAGAAATAAGTTATTCATCATCCTGTGCCTCGTGCTTGGTGCTGGACAGGTGGTGGTAACTATTACACAAACCATTTGCACCCAAAATGGAGCCAAATTCTGCTTTGTAAAATGGAGTCACGGGAATGTCTGCTCTGAGTCTGTTACCTAGGCAACAGGGCCCTCAGCAACCCTGTCGGGGTTTCTCCCCTCCTCAGGGGTCCCCAGAGTCTTGGTCAGGTCAGCTGGAGACTAGCAGCATCAGGAGCTGGGGAGAACAGGACTAAGCTCTCTGGCCCATGCCCTACCTCTCTGCTCCAGCCTCAGCTCAGCGTCTCTGCTTTCTGCACCTGTTCCCAGGCTACAACATCAGCCGCACCTGCACAGAAGAGGGCTGGTCACAGCTGGAGCCAGGCCCTTACCCTATCGCTTGCGGCCTTGATGACAGAGCATCCAGTCTTGATGAGGTAAGGGGGGCCTTGTGCCCCTGTGTACCCCAGAGTCCACCTTCCTCATGACTCCCTCTCCAGTTTGCATCTCCAGAGGCCTATCCCCTGGCTCCCTCCACAGGGTGCACACAGGGCTTTCATGGGGATCAGACCCAAGGAAGCATACCCAAAGCAGCCAAAACTGAAGTAGCACCCCAAGTGGGTTTTCTCTGCCTGGTGAGAGCTGAACTCCAGCATGTAGGTGGCAGGACAGACAGACACCATCGCCCCTACCCCCTCCTGAGAGGATATTGAGGGAGGGAATCAGCTTCAGATACCAACAGCAAGTCAGGGTCAAGATGGGGCCTGTTGGTTCCAGTATGGGGATGAGCCCTGGGATAGGTTTCTAAGGACTTGGGGAATCATTGGGGTCTTCAGCTAGGAGCCCCTCACTGCTTTGAGTGTCTGTCCATCCATCATTTTTATGGCATCTGTCCCACCCCCAAATGCCCTTCTCAGACTGGGCTTCACCTCTTCTCAAGGAAGCACACCTCAGAGCCCCTCCAAGCTCACTTGAGTCTTGGAACCTGACTCCCTTAAATCACTGTTAACCAGAAGCCTCTACTCAGGTACGGAGTCAGAGGGGAGAAGGTTCCCAGTGGCTGTAGCTCTGTCTACCTGTCCACAGGGAGAGTGCTTTAGCTCTTTTTCTACTTGTGATAAAATATCTGACTAAATCAACTTAGGAAGGAAAGGTTTATTTTGGCTCACAGTTTGAGGGTGCAGCCCATCATGACAAGGAAGTCTTGACAGCAGGAGTGTGGCATTGCTGGTCACTTTGCATCTGTATTTAGGAAGCAAAGAGAGATGAATGCTGGTGCTCAGCTCATTTTCTCCTTTCTTATTCATTTTGGGACCCCAGATCATGGGATGGTGCCACCCACATTCAGGATGGGTCTTCTCCCCTCAGTTAAACCTCTCTGGAAACACCCTCACACATATACCCAGAGGCACATCTCCCAGATGATACGAAATCCAGTGAGTCTGACAATGATTGGCCATCACAGAGAATATTGGGAGTGGGAACCAAGAAAAAAGCCGTTGGGGTCCAGGTTATCCAGTCCCCTACAAAAGCCTTGTTAGCCTCCACCTGTTGACCCCAACTCCTGAGAGTACCATCGTGGTCTTTAATGTTCCTGGCCACACAAAGAGCCTGGGTGAGGCTCTGAAAGGCCACCAGTTTCAATGCCCCAGAGTGCTAAGTCCAGAGTTGGCTCAGAAAATGAATGGGCCATAACTCAGTGGCTAAAGAACTTGCATGAGTTGCCTGAGTTTGATCCCAGCATGCATGTAAAAAAGCAGGGTGTGTGGTGGTATACGCTTATAATCCTAGCTCTGGGGAGATAGAGGAAGGTGGATTCCTGGGTCTCACTGACTAGCCAGCACAGCCCAGGCCAGTGAGAGACCCTGTCTTAAAGCACAAGGTGGAAGGCACCTGAGGAATAATATCTAAAATTTGACCTTTATCCACATGCACATACACATGTGCGTGAGTAACTGTGTGCTGGATCTTTCTCCCTACCACCTCCCACCCACAAGACAGAAAAGAAAAAGAATGAGTGAATGGTCAGGTATGGTGGTATCACCTGTAATCACAGCACTTGGGAGGCTAGGACAGAAGGATCATGAGTTGGAGGCTGCATGTCAAAACTCCTGTCTCAAAATTCTTTTTTTTAATATTTTATTTTTATTTCATGTGTGTGGGTGTATTGTCTGCATGTATGTGAGTGCACCCATGTCATGCAATGCCTCGGAAGTTCGAAGAGGGCTTCAGATTCCCCTGAAACTAGAGTTAAGGAAGGTTCGTAGCCACCATGTGGGTGTTGGCAATCGAACCCGGGTCCTCTGCAAAAGCAGTGTTCTTAACCACTGCACTGAGCCATCTCTCCAGCCCCTCAAAATTCTTCAAAATAATAAATTAATGACTGACAAGTAGAAGGTCTGGGGCCTCTGCTCTTTTTCACTCTGACATCCCTCATCCCATCTCCTCTGGGTACAGCTCCATCCTGTCATGGAAACCATGGTGTTAAGGGTATTGAGGACTTGGTGGGTACCACTCAGCTGCTCTTGGGAACCCTGGGCCCACCTTCCTTTTGTTAAGCAGTGTTTCTAGGTAGAACACATAGCCACCTCCCCCCCATCAACAGCCCCAAGTTGAACTCTCCTCCCCATCCAAGATCTTCTGCTCACCCCCCCAGCAGCAGCAGACCATGTTCTACAGCTCTGTGAAGACTGGCTACACCATTGGATACAGCCTGTCCCTCACCACCCTCCTGATCGCCATGGCTATCTTGAGCCTGTTTAGGTGAGGTTCAGCCCAGACAGCAAACACGGAAAGTGGCTCTTTTTGGTGGAGCCCAGCTTGGCCCAGGTGTGGCCTGCTTCCTCCACTGTCACACCCTGCTTCCAGGCAGCTCTAGTCCCTGACCTTGTCTCTGCCTCTGCCAAGCCAACTCCCCCTGGAAAGCAGGTGGCTAAGATGTGGTCTCTGCTGCAGTCCTGTCGCCTTGTCTGTGGATTGAGCACCAGACATAAGGGCCTACGAGACACTCTGTCTGCACAGGGGGGTGGGGGCCTGGGGATGGGTCACCTTGGAGGCAAAGACTGTACCCTGGAAGCCACAAGTCTCCTATCTACCTTGCCCAGAGCATAGTACTATGCCAGCCAGGGTCAAGGATCCAAGGCCCCTTCAGCCTCCTAGATGTGTATGCCCCTTGCAGGAAGCTGCACTGCACTCGGAACTACATCCACATGCATCTCTTCATGTCCTTCATCCTGAGGGCTACGGCTGTCTTCATCAAGGACCTGGCTCTTTTCAACAGCGGGGAGATGGACCACTGCTCTGAGGGCTCGGTGAGGAGCTGCCTAGCCTCTCAAGTATACCTGAACCTCTCCCCCTCCCCCTCCTCCCCAACTCCTCCCTCTTCTTTCTTCTCTTTCCTTCTTCATCCTCCATCCTATCCATCCATCCGTCCCTCCTTCCCTCCCTCCCTCCCTTATGATGGAATCTCTTCTTCCCCTCCTTCTCCTCCTGCTCTTCCTCCTCCCCCTCTGGTTCCTTTTCCTCCTGCTCTTCCTCCTCCCTGTCTGGTTCCTTCTCCTCCTCCTTCTCCTCCTCCCCCTCCTCCTCTTCCTCCTCCTCCTCCTCCTCCTTTTTCCTAAGTCACTGTCTCTGTCTTACTCTCTCCCCTTCCCAACTTCTCTCCTCCTCTAGGATGGAACCCCCCTACACACACACACCTGGCCATTTCTCAAACCCCACTCCCCTCCCAGCAGCAACAGCAGGTTGCTGAGCCACCTATGAGCTCACAGCCCTGCCCCTTTTGATGAGAAATGCAGGTAGACACCTCTCAGTCACAATCCACAGTCCCATCCTACCTCAGCAGTAGCTTCCTATGTGACCTTGGGCAACTCCTTGTCTCAGTTTCCCCATCTGCAAGGCCTTCCCACATTCCTCCCAGCTTGACCCTCTGTGCTCTACAGCCAGGGCTCTGTTCCCCACACCATTGCCCTTCCTCCCCACCTCTCCTTGCTGACCATCTCCTCTGAGACCTTCAGTCTAGTCCTAGGTTTTTTTAGGGACAGGAGGCTCAGGGAGCCTCTGAAGAGTTCATTATGAGGTACAGGCCTTGTCTTTGTATTAGTTGCTTTTCTCATTGCTGTAACAAAATACCTGACAAAAGCAACTTAAGGAAGGAAGAGTTTATTTTGTCTCACAGTTTTGAGAGTACAGTCCATCATGGTGGGAAGGTGTGGCAGGATTATGAAACAACTGGTCACATTGTGTCTATAGTTAGCAAGGAGAGATGAATGCTGGTGCTCAGCTCACTTTCTCTGTTTTATTCAGGTCAGGGCACTAGCCTGTGGGATAATGCTGCCCACAGTTAAGGTGGGTGTTCCCTCCTTAATTAACTAAATCTAGAAACTCCCTCACAGACCTGCCCAGAGGCTTGTCTCCTAGGTGATTCTAGCTCCTGTCAGGTTAACAGTATTAACCATCACAGTCTCCAGGTGACTCAGAGCAGCCCCAACACTAGGACAGAGCTTGAGACAACCCCAGCTCCCTCCCATGCTTTGTGCTGGGGATGCACAGCTTCCCAGTGACAGGAGAGATGCAGCATATTGCATCAGGAGTCATAAGTGCCTCCACTCCAAAAAAACAGGCCTATGGTGGTGGGATCTCAGGTAGCTCAATAAGGGGAGGGAAAATGCAGGGTCATTATAAGCTGAGGCCAAGTGCAGAGCCGAGAAGCAGCCAGCAGCCTCTGGCAAGGTTGTCTCACATCATGGCAGAAGCCAGCTTCCGAATCTATGCCAAGAGCAGAGCCTTCTTCCTAAGGAGGAGGAAGCACAAACAACTGTTTTCTCAAAGAGCTGAGCATTCTTGTAAAGCTGATGAAGCAGGCCTGAAACTGGAGGGACTAATGTGTGACCCAGGAAAGGCCTTTCTAACCCTAGGGAAGAGAGGAGAGGCTGCTCTTTGAGGAGGCCTCAAAGCCAAAAGCCTAGAGGGAAGGAGGAGGTCTGGGTTCTGGGTACAGAGAGAGTGGAAACTGGAAGGAAGGCAGCGTGAAGCCCTAGCTCACAAGCAGGCTCTGGAATGGTGACTGTTTCTGGGAGGAGGCAGAAGGCCCAGGAGACTTTCAGGTTGTTCCAGAAAGGCCGCCCCTTGATTACCCTGTTTTGAGACTCCATGAATCCCCTGTTGTCCTCACTGGACTGGGTGACCATTCTTCTAACCAGTAGCTCCAGACCCCATGAGAAAGAGCCACCCTTCTCCCTCCTCTCCTCGACCCTCCTCTCAGCCTCTTTCACACTGCCTCTGGGTTCCCTCCACAGCCTCAGCTCATACCCCCCCAGTCAGGGCCTCTCCTATAGACTCCAGCAAGATCTCACCCTCCTACTTCTAGCTCCCCGCATCCTCACTGGAATAAGATGGTGGGCCATCCATGGGCTGGTTCAAGGGTAGAATACAAAGATGTTTGCAGGTCTGATTGGGCAGAGAGATGGCTAGACAGAGGAAGGAAGACAGGAAAGTTAAGGGGAGCATGCAGGTGGGTATACAGCAGGACTTCATGAGTGGATTAAAGGTGGATGGATAGATGAATGGATAAATGGGTGGCTAAGTGGGTGCGGTGGTCAACAAATGGAGATTGGGTATAGAGACAGCTAGGTGAGTGAGTGGAGAGATGTATAGGTGAGGAGTAGAGAGATGATTAGGTGCGTAGGTGGAGAGATGGCTAGGTGAGTGGGTGGGTTGATGGCTGGGAAGATGAACAGATGATGAATGGATGACTGGATGGTAGATGAATAGATGGCTGAGTTGTCATGTGTTGGAAGGTCAATAAATGGATAAACAGCCAGGCATGGTGGCTCACATCTGTAATCCAGCACACAGGAGGCTGAGGCATTGCTGTGAGTTGGAGGGCAGCCAGGGCTACATAGTGAATTCTAGACTAGTCTGGATTACAATGTAAAACTAACACACACACACACACACACACACACACACACGGACAAATGGCTAGTAGGTAGGTGGGTGAGTGGGTGGGTGGTTGGGTGGGTGGTGGGTAGGTGGATATACAGGTGGTTACGTGGTGAGTGTGTCCAACCTTTTTACCTTTTGACATGGTGCTGTCTATGAAGTCCACTCTGGGGAACCCCACAATCCAATTACCACAAATACCACATGCAAAAGTTTCAAGGCATTTTAAGTTAGTTTACAATTTTGTATTGGGCCAAGTTCATAGCCATCCTCAGCTCTGTGCAGCCCAGAGACTGAAGACTGGGTGTGCCCAGAGATAGTAGGATATATAGACAGGAGATGTATAGGTGATATGCTGACAGATGGATAATTAACATCATCAATTTATCTCAAAACACCCAAGGATGTAAAGTCAGAGATCACAGGAAAACTCACTGTATGCATCTCAAGAAACTGATGGGGAATCAGCAGAGATGAAGCCACAGCTGTGTCTGTCCCCCAACTGGAGGTTGGGCAGTGAGAGACCGGCCGGGACTGAGCCTCCCCTTTGCTCCTCACTACAGGTGGGCTGCAAGGCAGCTGTGGTCTTCTTCCAGTACTGCATCATGGCCAACTTCTTCTGGCTGCTGGTAGAGGGCCTGTACCTGCACACTCTGCTGGCAGTCTCCTTCTTCTCTGAGCGGAAGTACTTCTGGGGGTACATACTCATCGGCTGGGGTATGGTACCAGGGAGGGGGCAAGGCTGGGGGAATCCCTGGGCAAGGGAGGGATCCTAGTTCTGCTTACAAGGGTCTCTATCAACAGTGATTAAGGTCCCCGGAATGAGTGGCCCCAGGGTTAGGGACCCTGGTCTGCAGCTGCTCTGTAGGGCAGAACCTGAGAACAGCCATTCATTTCCCCTTCCAGTCCTGACACACAAGGCCAAGGCCCATCTATAAAGTGTCAAAATCAGAAAAAGACTATCCCTCTAAGTATACACTGTCCCTCAGGCATAGAGCCTCACTACCTTAGTGGACATGAATAACCTATGCAACTTTAAGGTGGCAGCCCTGAGCACACACCATTATCTCTCTCTTTCCCTCTCTAATTCTTTATCCTGACCCTTTCCCCTGTGCTCTCTGCCTCTATTTTCTCCTCTTTCTCTCTCCTTTGGCCCTAACAGGGGTACCCAGCATATTCATCATGGTGTGGACCATCATCAGGATCTATTTTGAGGATTATGGGTAAGCTGTTGTCCCATCCCCTCCCCCTGACTGCTAGCATTTGAACAGAGTCCCTGGGTACGATGATGCCACCCAGGCTTGGCAGGTAGACAGACCATAGCACCGGGTCCAAAGCAAGAGACTCCTAGGGAGATGGGGGAAGTAGCAGACTCTGGGCTTGGGGGTGGATCCAAGGACGCTGGGGGATGGCTGACTCTCAGACTGAGGAGTTCTCTCCCCACAACCCTCAGGTGCTGGGACACCATCAACTCCTCACTGTGGTGGATCATAAAGGCCCCCATCCTCATCTCCATCTTGGTAAGCACCCCCGTGACCGCAGAGTGGTTGGGCAACCAACCTCAGGCCACACGGGAAATGAGTGTCTAGGTTAGAATGGAAACCCAACTTTCCATCATTCTACCCCCATGCCTCCAGCTCTTCTTCTAGAGCAAGTGGGGTGGGGGAGGGGTCCCCAGGGATGCATAGAAGAGTTCCCAGATGACTTTCTTCAAAGGCAAGAACTGGTGAGAGATACTATAGGGAAGCAGTAGGGCCCTGGGGAAGAAGATGGCCCTGGGGAAGAAGATAGCCCAAGGGACTGGACACCCGGTCTCCCTTCTCTGAATAACCTACTTTGGGGGGCCCCATCCAATAGGTGAACTTCATCCTGTTTATTTGCATCATCCGAATCCTGGTTCAGAAGCTGCGGCCCCCTGACATTGGGAAGAATGACACCAGCCCATACTCGTAAGTGTGGGTCCAGTGCCCCAGTCCCCAGATCCTGGATCCTCAGATCACCCCACCCTATGCCTCCTAGTGAGACCCCCTTGCCCCACACCTCCAGACTTCCCAAAAGCCAGGAATCACTCTTGCTCACCTCTACTCCCATGGCCAGGGCCAGCCACCAGCATCCCTGACATCAGCCGCCTTCACTAGACTGCCCTCTGTACCCACATCTGCCATCCCTGTACTCACTCACCCAGTAGCCTTATGAATCTCCTGCCCCCAGGGAGCTTGAAAGTGCACAAAAACCTGTGACTTCATCACACACTGTACCCAGACCCTGGCCTATACCTGGTAGAGAAAAGGGGTGCAATAGGTACCCAGCAGATGAGTACCCTCGAGAGCCTCAGTCCACTGTGAGACAGCCGTGCTCAGTATTCCTCAGTGTTACATGTGCAGTTTTCATGTGGCACATGGGCCAAGGGTCTCCATGTATCAACTCATGTCACTCTCAGGGTCCCCTGTAAAATGGCTCCCATTTTGCACAAAAGACAGATGTCCATTTCTTCTCCCTCTAGGATTTGGAGTATACCATGTCCCTCCCCTCCAGGGTTTAAGGCACATCATCATGGGCAGGAAGAGAAGGATATTAGTTGCTTTCCTTGTTTCTATAACAAAATACATGACAGAAGCAACTTAAGTCAGGAAGAATCTATTAGAGAGAGATGAATGCTGATGCTCAGCCCACTTTCTCCTTTTCATTCAGTCTAGGACCCCAACCTAGAGTATGGTGCCACCCACATTCAGGGTGGGTCTTTTGACCTCAATTAACACTGTCTAGAAACTCGCTTTCAGACATGTCCAGAAGTTTGTCTCTTGGGTAACTGTAGAGCATATCAAGTTGACAATCAATATTAACCATCATGGGGGGCACAGTGTTCATGGGACAGCGATTATGCTCCTTGCTTGGGAAGGGCGTGTTCCCTGTGCTGGACACTGGGAGGAGGAGCATGCTTCTATGGTAGCAAGAGCTTACAGGTGGATGAAAGAAAAATAAACTGTGACCAGGGGTGCCTATGTGAAGGTACACAGGGCCTGCGTGCTCACAGATGGGAATAAAAAACTGAGGCCCTAGATCATGCAGACAGACTAGACTGACAGTCCCACAAGGGCCTTCTGGTCCTGTGATGCTAGAATGTTCTTGGGCTATTAGGGGAGTCTGTGCTGTGGTTGGAAGACTCCCTGCTAGAGAGTCACGAGCTGCTGGATTTGGGGTTCTATTCTGGAATCCTGTGATTGTCGGCTGAAACTGAGGTTCACTTCCATTATATGACAGCACTCCATCCCCAGCTGGTTGTGTGGGCATAACTTCCCTTTCTGGTCCAGAAGGAAAGGCCCCATGAGCCTTGCTCACTGCTGAGGGGCAGCACTGGCCCGAACACACTCATCCTGTCCTTTACCTGGATGACCTTGTTTCCCAAAGTCCAGTGGCTACAATGGGCTCCAGTCTGAGGAAGAGAACCTAAGCCAAGCATGGCCATGTCTGTGTGGGTGAGATGGAAAAGGAACAGCTGTCACAGGCAGAAGGGGTGGCAGGAGCCTGAGCTGGCAATCCCCAAGGAGGGGCTGTCAGTTCCCACAGTTCAATTTAAAGAAAGCCTCCATCTGTCAGCCTTGGCGTGTGAGATGGGTTCACAGTCAAGGCAGCGTGGGCAGCACTAAGGATCCTGGCATGGCTGGGAGCCAGGTCCGGGGCGGGGGAAGGAGCCAGGGCACGTCTGCCCAGAACTTGGGGTGGGACCACAGGCTCAGAGAGCCAAGGCAAGAGAGGCAGGAACAGAGACATGCCCCCAGACCTCTTCCATGCCAGGGAATCATGGAATTAGTGGTCCCCACTGCCTGGACCAGCTAGGAGGTCAGTTGAGCTGAACCGTGGAGGAGAGATTAAACCCTAGAGTGAATGCTGGCCCTGCTGGGCTTCATTCATTCATGAGCTGGTCCTTTGCTGCAGGATGGTGTGCTGAGGTAGGGGAGGATGGGGGTCTCGTGGTAAGTGACAACTCCAACTCCTAGAGACAAAGCCACAGTGGGACAGCCAAAGCTATAAGGTAGCCTAAGTTACAAAGATGCACAGATCAACCAGGTGACCAGACATAAACCCGAGCACTCACCACCCTCCTGAACCCTGGGCATCTGTGGTCAGTCCTTCAGCTGGGAAGACTTCTTCCCAGAATCCCAAAAGGAGCTAGTCTCTGTCTCTCTCTCTCTCTCTGTCTCTCTCTCTCTGTCTCTGTGTCTCTCTCTCTGTCTCTGTCTCTCTCTGTCTCTCTCTCTCTCTCTCTCTCTCTCTCTCTGTCTCTCCATCTCTCTGATGCACCAAAATCTCTTCCAAGGTGACAACAGGCACCTATGTTGGGCATGCATTTACCCCAATATGTAGGCTGGAGAAACAGACCCAAAGGAGGGGGGCCAGGAAGTCTCACTTCCAGAGAACAGAAGCTAAAGTCACAGTTAGACTGCTCCTCACTGTCCTCTCTCCTTCAGAACAGGGAGAATGCCCACAGGCGAGGAGGTAGGGGGCAAGTGCAAGCATTGGCAGGTGGGGGACAGAAGCAGACATGAGCATTGCATGGAGGGGAGCCACTGTCCATCTTTACACCTTCCCTTACTATCCCCATCTGGTGTGCCCAGATGTGTGGAGATTTATATATACATAATCTCTATCCACCTGCCCTTCCCTGTCCCCAGGAGGCTAGCCAAGTCCACACTGCTGCTGATCCCCCTGTTTGGAGTCCACTACGTCATGTTTGCCTTCTTCCCTGACAACTTTAAGGCCGAGGTGAAAATGGTCTTCGAGCTTGTAGTGGGATCTTTCCAGGTATGAACTGTGAGCTCTAGGCAGGTTCCCTCCCCTTAAGGAATTCACCTGGGGCTGGCATGGGCCCTGACCCTGGATTCCAGTTTCTTGACATGAATATAGATTAAGCATGCACTTTGTGCTCTGTGCTTCCTTAACCAGGGGAACTGAGGGACTGGGGTCAGGGTACACAGACACAGACACGGGATGGGCTGGGGGAAGCTGGGAGTGCCTAGTGTCTCTGCCTCACTTTTCTTGCCCCCTTCCTCTCCAGGGTTTTGTGGTGGCCATCCTCTACTGCTTCCTCAATGGTGAGGTAAGCTCCTCCTGGCCTTGGTGTCAGAGGATAAGAACTCCCAGGCTCAGGTTCCACAAACACTAATGGCATAATTGAGAGCAAGGACCGTTTATAGAGTGCCATTCCAAGTGTGGTCCTCAGACTGTAGCATCCCGGTTGCCTAGAATCTCATTTAAAATGCAGATCTGAGAGCTTCATAGACTTGGAGACTTAACAGTCTGCACTTTAACAACCCAAGGGTGTGGTTGGGGGAGGGGCTCCTGTGTCCCTTAGCTAGAAACTTCTAAGAGGGTGCAGGCTGAGCTGGGGGTAAGGCATCGAGGGAAGGTGCAATTGCTCAAGTGAGCTGGAGAGCTGGGATGAAGAATCAGGACAACTCCCCCTCCCCCAGCCAGCCTCTCTAAACTGCATTTTGTGACTGTCTACCCCCCACCTTCCTCCTCTCCCAAGATCCTGAGTTGACCCTGGCTCTCAGTCCTGTCCCAACTCTACCCGGAATAAGACAACATCTGGGCATCTCTTTTGGACTAGGGTCTATCTGGCTGATTTAGCGCCCTCCATAGAGCAGCGATGATTGCAGAGAACGCTTCACCACATCCAACCTAACCACCGTCCCCGCCCCTAGGTGCAGGCGGAGCTGCGGCGGAAGTGGCGGCGCTGGCACCTGCAGGGTGTCCTAGGCTGGACCTCCAAATCCCAGCACCCGTGGGGAGGCAGCAACGGCGCCACGTGCAGCACGCAGGTCTCCATGCTGACCCGGGTCAGCCCCAGCGCGCGCCGCTCCTCCAGCTTCCAAGCCGAGGTCTCCCTGGTCTGACCACCAGAGGCCGCCAGGCCCCTTCACACCCACCCCACACTGGCCCCGGGAGCAGAAATCGCGGCTTCGCCAGCTCTAGCCGGGATCAGGACCCCTGTAGAGCCGGGAGACTAAACCCTGAAGAATGCAGGGAGGGACAGGCATCAGACTCCGCCTCCAAAGGACCCTCTGCCAATCACGGACACAAAATCTGCATACTCTTCCTCCCCGGGATGCCTCCTGACCAATCGAAGGAGAGCAACCGCCCATCTTCAAAGTTTTTGAGCTCTGAGAGGTGGAAAGTTTCCGCTTAGGTGGTTGGTGGCTAGAATTCCACCGTCTTCACCGGCTAGTGGCTTTGGGGTAAGCGTTACCTGTCAGACCCTCCCTGAGGATGCAGTCCGCTCCCGGGGTGGCCTGCTCTTATCTGCCAGCTCCTCCAGGTGGGTGAGTTTCTCTACCTCAGGCAGATAATGGTAGTGACCTGGAGTTTCAGCGTGGGGATCACAGCTGCCTTGTGAAGATCCTCAGGGTGGAGTGGTCCCAGCGTCCGTCTATCCACTGACTGAGGAGCTCTGAGAAGAGAGAAGATGGACCCAGCCAGTGCTCACGAGCAAGTAGAATCGTCACACCTGCCTTATGCACAACCAAAGCAATAGAGAGCTGCCCTTCTTGGGTAGTCACCTACGTGCCAACTATTGCAACGAGACTCAGAGACTTAATCCTCACATAAACCTAATTTCACAGGTGGGGAAACAGTCTCAGAAACAGCAGGAATCTCCCCAGCATACAGACAGGACTTGGACTCAGATCCTGTGGAGACACAAAGACACAGACACTTCCTTTGCTACCTTTTTATATATTTAACCTGCTGGACTCTTCTGGGGTTTCCATATCACTACTGATATTACTGCCCTTATTCCTTAGTCCCTGTGCCCCCTTGGCAGGTGGCTGAGTGTGTCATTAGTATAAGAGCCTGATGGTCAGAGCATCTTGTGCTTCCCTTCACCCTTATGGACACACAGCTTCCTACACAAGCCCCTGTCAGCAGATCCTCTTGGAATGGCACCAGGCTCGTATAACAATAAATATTGGCTCTGACTGGCTTGGTTCTCCTGGCAGCTGTGGGTCTCCTGCTTCCTGTGAGCAACTACGTCCTCTCTACTCCAATGAGAAGTCCACTAATACCACCACATCTCCACAAGAGAAGCACAAATCCAAGAGCTTTCACCACACCTTCTGAGTGTGACAAAGTTACAACAGGCCCATTGTGACCCTCAGTTCCTAAATCCAGCCAAGAGGAGATGGTCCAGCCTCAGACCAAATAAAACAGCTTGATAGAGCTGTCAGAAACAGTGATTGTATTTCTGTGTGGCTGTCAGACCAGCCGTTCCTGGGAACAAGGAGCAAACAGGGAACATAAAGACCAGGTTGCTGTTGCCCAGGGGCCAAGAGAATCAGATCAGCACAGATGTCCCAGTGTAAGTCAATGAGCAGAGGCAGTGTGACTAATGGAAAGGTTTAGACACTGCAGTGTGGCAAAGCAGGTGACATTGAGATAGTGCCCAAGCATTTGTGCAAACTCACCTCTTTGGTTTCACTCTGTAAACATGTGGGGTTATCTTACTAGACAGGCCAGAGATGGATGCCAGGCTGTTAGAAAAAGGCCAGGATGAGCTAGCAACAGCTCAGATCCTCCTTCAAGCCTCTTTCAAAGGCTTCCACTATTCAGTACCATCCCAGGACAGATCACGGACCTCCTGAGATATGTAAATGCCAGAAGGGACCCTCATACCTAGCCAGACTGTCCCACCCACCATGGTACCCAAAGTCCCTCTGGCAGTAGTGTGTCATAGCTTCGGGGAAAAGCACAAAGCCATGGGAGGAGAACAGTTACCAACCAAGAGGACAGGGATTGAGTAAAATTAAGACTCATGATGTGTGTGAGGAAGGAAGGAGAGAGGTAGGGCATTGCTCAGAGAGCATTCAGGAGTCTTCTGCTCAGTGATGGGCATTCTGAGATGAGGACAGACCAAGAGAATTTAGGTAGACATCCCAGGTTAGTAATAGTCATAGATAGGGTAGCCACAGGCAGGCTTCTCCTAGTCCCCTCTCCTTCCCCCAAACATCCAGATCTCTCCAGGCACTGCCAGACACCTATCAAACCAGTCCAACTCATATCTGTTGCCACCTGGTGGACGCTTGGAAGGATTTCACCAAGGTTGACCACCTTAGGGCTCAACACCCTCACCTAGGTCTCAGTAGGGGGCAATGGACACAGAAGGCAGGCCTCTATTCGGAGCTCTAAGAGTGAGATACAAGAGAAGTGGACAGGCCATGTGCTGGTGCCCAGGGTCAGCCCCCACACCTGGCACTCAGATCAAGCCCCATATGAGCCCTGCGTAGACCCAACCAGAACTTGCAGCACAGAGCCCAGCCTCTGGGGGTGCCTTTTAAGAAGCCCTGCCCACAGTCCCTGAGAGTAAAACCCAGTTGACTCAGGTGGGTATACCCTGGGAAGCTAAGGACAGGGAGTCCCACCATCCCAACTCAGAAAGGCTCTGTGGGGAAGGCCAGAATGAAGGCAGCCCTTGCACTCTGAGGCACAGGCTGTCCAAGGAGGGTGGCTCCTTTACTAGCAGAATGACTCCAAGGACTCTGAGGACTATGAGGGGTCTTCAGGTCCCAAGGGAGCATGTTGGGGGCTAGAGACAATCCAGGCGAGTAGATGCCAGGGGCTTTTGCCAGACGAAGAGGAGGCCTCTTAGATGAGGCTGAGGGGTGATGGGGATTTAGTGCGAAGAACTCAGGGTATAGGCCTGGAAAGGATGCCAGCCCATCAACAGGAAACAGAGGAGGTCAATTGGTGAGACAATGGTCTGGTTTGAGACGTGCTGAATGTAGTGTTTGCGGGTATCTGAGAAGAGACCCCAAGGCTGTTAGAATTGTGATCTAAAGTGACAGAGGGTGTGGAGACCAGGGCAGCCCCTTGGGGTAACAGTGGGTGGAAGGTTGTGTCCCCACACACCCCCGTTGGGTGTGCTGGGCACTGTGGGGTGAGGAGTCTGACTCAGGTCCTCCATCCTGGCCCACACAGAGCCTGTTTTAATGAGTAGTGGCCCAGCCCCCCCCCCATGTGGGAACAGGAACTGTTCTTATCTCTCCAGGGCAGGGAAGGGGAAGAAGCCAGAGCCACAGCTGGCAGTCATTAAACACCCTGCTCAGGCCGGGGATGGCCAAGATATTAATAGCCAGGAGTGATGGCCCTGGAGACACAGCCTCCCAGGAAAAGTAATCTCAGCAGGCCAGAGGCATGGGTCAGGAGACCATCTTGGCAATGCCCAAGTCTCCAGGAACGACATATAGGATAGCCAAAGGCCAGAGAAGGGAAGAGGTTGGCTTGGGGGTCACCAAGAAAGCCTGACCTTAAACCCAGCTTCCAAATCCCAGCCATTCTATATATTGTCGGAGATGGGGTCATTCAGGCCTGCCCTGTCTGTGTAGAGACACAAGAAGAGCTGATCTAGTTAACAATCCTGATTCTGCTGTACCTAAAATCTTGACATCTTGTTCTTCATGTATTTTTGCATTAATTTTGATATTTTAAAATACTGCATTAAAATGCTATTTACCTTGATTTTTGTGTGGTTTCGTGTGTCCTCTTAAATTCTACACCCACCCATGACACTCTAGTCCTGATCCAGATCCCAGGGGTCCCAGTATCCCTGAGTTCCAGGATGCCAGTGTGGGAGAAGCATTGAAGAAGTCTAGGATGGCCTCTTTGTGTGGCCCCTGCTTGGATGATGCCCACCAGAAGTGACAGCTCAGTGATATTATAGCCCTCAATGTTTTCTACCATCCTCTCAGTCATGCTTTGGATGTCCCTGTCCTCCTCACACTTACCCCCCACCCATGACTACAAGATGACTGCCAGTGAACCAGGCATCCTGTTATCAGAACCCCATCCACTAGAAGAAAGGAGGATACCATTTTATCAAGATCAATAACCCTCCAACACCCACCTTCTGCAGACCACAGGAATGAGAAGGACAGATCAGAAGGCCAGCTTGTTAATGCCCCACCCCTACACAGGACAGAAGGGTTAGCAAATGTCATGAGAAGGGACTAATCCCAGCTGTAAGAGAAAACAAGGCTTTCATAAGCTGATCTACTATGGAGTGTGGCCCTCTGTCTCCTGTTGGTGGTCTCTGGGGACATGTGTGACCTCAGGTCTCACCTCAGCTGCTGGTGGTGTATGTGACAGAACTGAGGGAGCCAAGTTAGCCATGGCTCAGAACAGAGAAATGCTGTAGGCATTTCATGCAGAATGAGAGCTCATGGAGGGACTGAGGAGAATAGAATTCAAGGAATACCTCTGTATTCACAGTCACACCACCGGACTGTCACCTTGCAGAAAATTCCTGCCAGCATCCCAGTTATACATCTATCAAACAAGACAGCAGGAGTGTGGCACTATGCTGTTGCCTGCCAGTCCGTGACTGCCATGTTGCAGCAAGAACTGCCTCCACCTCCCAAAGGCCTTCCAATCCTTGCCAGGGCTTTTTTGTAGCAGCACTTAAGATGCAAAATCTGGGAAGGGTTCTCTAGAGCCTTCCGGCCCCTGCAGCACATGAGAACAGAAAGGGGGCTAGAGAAGAGGTGAATACCATTTTCTAACCCAGAAGTGTGAGTGGCATTGTAGCTCAAGTTCTCAGAGAGTAAAGCCCACAACAAGAACCATGACAAAATGGAGTGAAGCTTGAAGTAAAGAAAGTTGGTATAAGGTGACTGACTGCACCAGTCACTGGCAGGGCAATGGGCACTCATTGCCAGTGGGACTCTGAGGAGCTGGCAGAACATGCCTGAGGGGCAGGAAAGAGAGTGCCAACCACTGGTTGCCATTGCCTGTTGCCCAAGCTGTACCCATGCCAACCCGTCACAGTTCCTGGTTAGGCCTCTGTATGAATTACTTTGCTTGTTGCCACAATAAAATATGTGACAAAAGCAACTTAAGGAAGGAAGGGCTTACTTTGGCTATTTAAGAAGTGATATGGGGGGTAGGGGTGGGGGCAGAGCCAGACAGATGGCTCAGCAGTTAAGAACATGACTCACAATCCCCTGTAACTCTGACTCCAAAGGCTCTGATACCCTCTTCTGGCCTCTACAAGACATCCGCACACACGGCATTCACACACACACACACACACACACACACACACACACACACACATAAAGATAATAAAAACGAATCTTTAAAAAAGAAAGAACACATTTTCGAAAACAAATATTTAAAAAAAAAATTTTTTACCACACCAGGTGTAGTGACACACATCTTTAATCCTAGCACTTAGGAGGCAGAGGCAGTTGAATCTCTGTGACTTCAAAGCCAGCCTGATCTACATATCGAGTTCTAAGTTAGTCAGGGCTACATAGTGAGACTTGCCTAAAAAAAAAAATTTTTTTACGAAGGGATACAGTCCATCATGGCAAGGAAGGCATGACAGCTAGAGCATGAGGTAACTAGTCACTCACTGTTAGGAAGCAAGGTGCCAATGGAAAGTGGGGCAGGGCTATAAAACCACAAGTTCTGTCCCCAATAACCCACTTCTTCCCATGAGGCCCTACCGCCTAAAGACTCCACAAGCCCTTTCAAAACAGCACCACGAAATGTTCAAACAAATGAGCCTGTGGGAGACAGCTCACACTCAAACCACAACAGCCTGCATGAGTACCTACTGGGTCCCTACAGATCCCTCACACAGTGGCTTCAAGGGACTCAGGCAAAAAGTGCTTGCTTTCCCTGTGGCAGAGCTGAGCTTCTGCAGTGGGAAGTCAGCAAAGGTAGGCAGGAGGATATGCAGCCGAATCTGTTAAGGTGGACTCTGGACAGAGAAGAATCTGGCACTGAGGTCCTTTGGCAGCCAGAGCCCAAGGGGTGTTCATGGGCCTTCACCAGCCTTGCTGCCCAAGTCTGTGGCTGCTGCTCACTGTCTGTTCTTTTGGAGGTTCTGCTCTAGCCAACCAAGCTCCTCTGAGGCTCCTCAGACCCCTCCAGGCTTAGCCTTGCCTCCAGTTCCAAGCTCACCAGTTCCAATTTCCTCATGCCCTGGGGCTCCTGGGAGCTTCCAGGCCTCTGGAAGCCAGTAAGACTTGGGTTTTCACTTAGACTCTTTTTTTTTTTTAATTTTTGGAGGTGGGGAGTAGTGAGAAAGTGTTTCAAGGAGACCAGGCTGGCCTTGAACTCGCTACATAGCTGAAGATGACCTTGAACTTCTGATCCTCCTAGGTGCTGGGATAATAGGCATGTACCATCATGCCCTGTTTATGTTGTGCTGGGAATTGAACTACGGCTTCGTGCATACTAGGCAAGCATTCTGATAGCAGCTACATTCCCAAGGCTTTTTAAATTTTAATTCAGGGGATGAAGGGATGGCTCAGAGGTTAAGAACACTGGCTGCTCTTGCAGAGGACCCAGGTTCAATTCCCAGCACCCACATGGCAGCTAGCAACCACCCATCAACTCGTTTCAGGGGATCTGATGCCTTCTTCTGACCTCTGCAGGCATTGCACAACATGGATGTACTTACATACATGCAGGCAATACACTTATACACATAAAATTTTAAAAATTAAATATTTTTTTAGTTTAAAATTTTTTGAGGAGTCTCATTACGCAATCCAGGCTGGCCTTGAACTCACTCTGGTATCCCAGGCCAGTCTCAAACTTGCCATCATCTTTGCTCAGCCTCTCAGGTATGTACCAGTGAACTTGTCTTCAAACCTTCTTGCCATGGACTCCATAACTTCCTTTTGACTCAGGAGGGCCCCTGAGGGCTGCCTGAGGGGTTCTCATCCCAACTTAGACTGGAAGCCATACTCTCTTTTATCAGTTTCATTTTTCTCCTCTCTCAAGATTGTTGTCCCAGGTAATGAGGTCAGGATCTCTGTCAGTGCCCTTCCCCTCCCCACCAAGCAGTTCTCAGGTGCCTCCTCCTCAGGTCTACCTTCCTCTTTCCAGAGATGGCAACCCTTCTCCTACCTTTCCCTGGGGCAGAAAAGTGCAAGTGCTTCACAGAGATAATCTCAGGTATGCTGGGATGAGCATCTCAGCTCTTTAATGCTTTCAAGTAATTACAGCTGTTCCATTCATCAGAGAACTGCTGTGTTAATTACTTTTCTTGTTACTATGACAAAATACTTGGCAAAAGCAACTTAGGGGCTAACTTTGGCTCAGTTTGAAGGTACAGTCCATCACAGCAAGGAGATGGTGGAAGGAGAGTAAGGCAGCTGGTCACCTTGTATCTGCAGTCAGGAAGCAAAGAGAAATGAACGCTGGTACTCGGCCTGCTTTCTCCTTGATATTTGGTCTGGGATGCCAGTCCATGGAATGGTGTTGCACACATTCAGGGTGGGTTTTCCTACCCCAGTTAAACCTCTCTGGAACACCTCACAGAAGTGCCCACAGGTCTGTCTCCTCCATGACTCTAAATCCAGTTAAATTGCAAAAAAGACTAAACCATCACAGTTGCTAACCACTCATTGAGTATAAAGCTCTAAATACTGAGGTGAGGCTGAGACCCATTCCCAGGAATGCTAATGATGGAGACGGTAACTGAGGAAAATAAGAGGGGCTGGAGTCAGGGCTGCTCTGTCAGATGCATGGTCCCATGGCCTCCTGCACACACTGCTAGCTGTGACAGGCAGGCCATTCCCCTGTTCTGATAAGCAGAGTGTTCCAGGTCACACGCATCAGAACTGGGGTCCAGATACCTCAAGGTAAAGTCAAACTTTCCAGTCCCTCGATTCAGCAGCCTAAAAAAATGTCTGAGGAGACTTGGGGAACCAGGGTTGGGATCTCAGCGTGGCCTCAACCTTTTCTCATGGGGCTCAGGTACATGCTGCTTTCCCAGACATTGGGAGTGGGAAATGGGGCTTGTTTCTGAGGCCCTCCATTGCAGCAGTGACTGGGAGTTGCAGACTCCATCTGGGTGTGGGGACCACAAGGTCCCCCACCCCAGTTCAGTGTCCTCTGTGCCAAGTGACAGAGAACAGGCAGCTCTTGAAAAGACTAATATTTACTCTTCAAACAGGAGCTGGCATGAGCTGTTTCCTGTGACTGGCGTCTGGCTCACCCGAGGATGGACACAACAGGAGGCACTTTGGGAGATAGGCAGATGTCCCCTCGGACACCAGCAAGAGGCAAGAGGATGTATGTGATGGGGACAGTATGTTCTGAGGTCCCCTTGCACCTAGCCCCTCTCAGCTTGCACACCTCCAGGACAGCAAGGTCCCTGCCATTTCGAGGACTGTTGGACAGCCCCGTGAGAAAGTTCACTTTGACTGGCCCTGCGTTCCTTGCCTCTGTGTTCCTTTCCTCTGGCCCTTGAGCTGATCCCTAGGGCCTTAGAAAATGTGCCTGGAACAAGCCCCCAGGGCCATGGTGGTCCTGGTCCCCTTCACCCCACCCCCACCACCCTGCCTTTACTTTCCTGGTTTCATACTCTGGGTTCAGGCTATTTCTGTTTTAGGAGGAAGGGCAAGCTCAGGGGCACCTCTGGCCCCCTGGAGCTGTTTCTTGTCCTCATGAGAGCCTTTCTAGCGCAGTGCCTCCTGTGGGAAAATCTCAGCCAGGAAACTACTGCTCAGGCCGCCTGGATCTGGGAGGACAGTCCCTGAGGGATTAACTGACTGCCACCGCCTGCTCTCTCTCAGATCCCCTCCTCTCTGCTCCTCACTTTCTCCTCCCCCAGAGGCCCACCCTGACCACTACAGCCCATAGACTCTGCTTTAGTTCCTCCCTGGCCCCAGAGGAAGCCAGGGACACTCAGTCTGGAATGCTAATCTTTATTTATTTATTTTTGAGACCAGGTCTCATGTACCCCAGGCTGGTCTTAAATGTGCTATGTGGCCAAGGATGACCTTGAACTTCTGATCCTTCTGCTTCTACACCCCAAGTGCTGGGATTAAAGACAAGTGCCACCATACTCAGTCAGTTTATACAGTGCTGGAGAATCAAAGTCAGGTCCTTGTGCATACTAGGCAAGCAATCTTACCAACTGAGCTACATACCCAGCTCACGTGCAGATCTTTGGAGTCCCCCCATCCTCAAAGCTTGCCTTTTCAGTCTTGTCATATCCAGGGTTGGTGACACCATTATAAAATTATCCAAGTGGAGCACAGGTTCACCTCATTCTTCTAGAGCTTTTAGATCTGATTGCAGAGTCCAGCAGTCTTCTTTTTAAAAACAAAAATTTTAAATTACATTTAGTGTATATATACATGCATGTGCACATGTAAGGGTCAGAGGACAACTTACAGGAGTTGGTTTTCTCCTTCTACTTGGGTCCCAGTGACTCAGGTCATCATGCTTAGTGTCAAGTGCCTTTACCCACTGAACCATCTTGCTGGCCCTTTTATTTTTTAAAATCCCCTAATATCTTTACCCTTAATATCCTTGCTTCTGGCACCTGCAAGCAACCATTCAAATGTATTTATTTAACATGCTTTTAGATATTTTATTATTTTTATGTGTATGTGTGTATTTCCTGCATGCATGGAAGTGCACCCATGTCATGCAATGCCAGGGGAGGTCAGAAGAAGGCATCGGATCCCCTAGAACTGGAGTTACGGACAGTTGTTAGCTGCCACATGGGTGTTAGGATCTGAACCCAGAACTTCTGCAATAACAATCAATGTTCTTAACCACTGAGCCATCTCTCCAGCCCCTTATTTAACATGCTTTAAATAAATAAATAATAAATAAATAAATAAATAAATAAATAAAGACAGGTCTCACTATGTAGCCCTGGCCTCTGGGAACTCAATATGTAGACTAGGCTTGCCTGGAACTCAGAGATCACCTCTGCATCCTGAGGTCCTGAGTGTGCCACCATACCTGACCCATTTAGGTTTTTTTGTTTGTTCATTTTTGTTTGTTTGTTTGTTTGTTTTTTGAGACAGGGTCTCCCTGCAGCCCCAGCTGGTCTGGAACTGCTATGTAGACCAAGTTGGCCTCAAGCTCACAGGGATTTTCCTGCCTCTGCCTTTGCCTCCCCAGTGCTGGGACTAAAGGCGTATACCACCACACCTAGTTCAGCATGTTTTTTTTTTTTTCATTTTATGTGTATACGTGTGTTGCCTGCATGTAGGTCAGTGCACCCGTGTCGTGCAGTGCCCGCGGAGGTCAGAAGAGGCTGTCGGATCCCCTGGGACTGGAGTTATGGACAGTTGTTAGCTGCCATGTGGGTGTTGGGATTCTAACCTGGGTCTTCTGCAAGAACAACCAGTGTTAACCGCTGAACCATCTCTCTCCAGCCCTCAGCATGGTTTTCTTTGCATGTGTTCTTACAAAATAGTTTATCATTTTGTGCACATATATAACAATGATATAAAAGTTATTTTCTACCCAGGCCTAAGTTTTGAAGGCCTGAATCATTGCAACATGTCAACATAACATGTTCCTGCCTGCTTCATAGTGTGCCAGGGTGAACCTGCACAATTTACCTGTTCATAACGGAGCTAGAGATTGCTTTCCACAACAGTAAACAATACTTCTACCAGTGCTGTCCCCATAAGCATCTGTGCAGGAAGTGGAAAGAAATGTCCACATCCAGGTGTGTGCCCAGTGTGGGTAGTTAGACAGTGTTGGTCTGTAAGGTTGCTGTAACAAAACTACCACAGAGGTTATTTCCACATGATTCTGAAGGCTGGATTCTGACACCAGGGTGTCTGATAGCTCCTCTCCTTCCACATGCTCGTTCCTGTGCCTGTGTCCTCAGTCTTTGCTGGATTTGGGCATGGTCTCGTTTTTACCTTAATCACCACCTTGAAAGGCCCTGTCTCCAACTACAATCACATTCCGTGGTCTACAGCACCTGAGTGGGGAGCACAGGCAGCACTGCTCTGCAGATAGACAGGCACTGCCATTCCACTCACAACAACAGCACCCAAGGTCTGGCTTTCTTTTCTCTTTCCTTTTTTTTTTTTTTTTTTTTTGACAGGGTCACCTCACAGCCCTAGCTGGCCCCCATCTCACAGAGATCCACCTATCTCTGCCTCCATAGTGCTGGGATCAAAGGTGTGCACTACCATGCCAGGCTTTATTTATGGTAAAACAGAGTTTCATGTAGCTCAGGCTCATCTCCAACTTTCTATGTAGCCAAGGGTAACCTTGAACTCCTGATGCTTCTATTTTAATCCTTACTGATTTCAAGCTCTGTAACTATCTCCTCTCATTCTTTTCACTTTGCCCAGGAAGTCTTGTCATCAAACTTGTCCATAATTTCAACAGTTATGCCTATGATATTTAAGAAGTACCTCCCCCTACCTCAGGCCAGAGAACCTTCTCTATGGAGCTCAGAAAACTCCATAGACTTTGCCTTATCCATCTGATCCCCTGTCCTCTGACCAAAGGCACTCAGGCAGGGATGTCCTTCTCAGCCATTCCTCTTCTGGGACGACCCAAGCATGCTTGGCTACTGTTACCAGGTCCCCTGCAAGGGGAAGGCTCCAGGAAAAGGCAGGCTACTCATCAGCCCAAACTCCACAACCAGCCCTCCTGACACAAAGAGGGCATCTTCATGACCCCAGACTGTCATTTATCCTTTGTGGGTACCGTCCTATGGGGGACAGTCCCTCCTTCCAGGCCAGGGGACAATCTCTGGGCTCTCTTGTGACTGGCTGTCTAGCCCAGGCCTGGTTACCTCATCTGAGCAAGATTTTGCCAACCTTCAAATCCCAGAATCCAGATGTCTATTTTGAAAAGTGGCCTCTGCTTTCCTGCCTCTGGGAGTCAGGACAGATGGGAGATACAGAGAACAAGCATGCCAAAGGGGTCAGGAGGCTGGTCCAGAGAGGACGCCTTTCACCCCTTCCTGGGAATTTTGTCAGCTGCTTCAGGAGCAGCCTTGGGAAAAACGCAGCATCCCTGGGCTGGGACTGGGTGATGTGGACAGCCTTTGCGCCTCCTGGTGGCCATTCTGTGACAGGGATGACCCTGGGAGATGAAACCTTTACCCTTTATAAGCCAAAAGCAGCCCAGAAACCAGAGCAAAAGTGCCTGGGGGTGCACAGCAGGATGGTGGCTACAGAGAAGGCAGAAATCAGCCCAGGGGGGCAGCCCTGCATCTGCCATTTTGGTTGGAACCCTGTGTTAAAGGCTGGTCCTCACATCTGTCCAGACATCACTAGACAAGGGGACCAGAATGCTACTTCTCCCAAAACCCCTCCCACAATATCAGGCCTACCTGAGAACAAGGAAAGAGAACCTTAACTTGAAATCGTTCACACAAGTACCAACAGTGCATTAGTAAACACCTTAGATTTATTCTTTACACGCTGCTGAAGCTGCCTCCTGTCATTATTATATACACAGTATATAACAGCTGTACACTATCCGTACACTGACACGTTTCAGTTTACCAGTATGTGAAAGTTAAAATGTACCCACCATGTACTTAAAATAGATGTTTGTTGTCACGTGAAAACAGTAAGATGCTTGTACACCACGGACAGCCAGCACTAGAGATAAGCCTGGGGGTAGACGGTTTTGTCTCAGTCTCAATATTTTATGCTCTTAGTAGAAAAAGTCCATTAAACAAAATTAAATCCTAGGGGCTAAGCCATGTGAATAATTCATTAGATAATATTTCTGAAGCAATCAGAAGATTGTATCAATGTAAGGGTTAAAGGCTGCTACATGTATGCAGCAAACACGGGTCATTGGCAAAGAATGGGCTTAATTTTACCCTAAAATGAAGGTTGCTTGTGAGCCACAGCTCTGCCCACTGCTCCCTGTGGGAAGGTGTTCCCCCAGCCTTCCATTTCCAAGTATGAATGGCAGAACCCTTCCCACAGCTGCCCTGCTGAGATTTCCCCAGCAACAGCAGGTGACAGCGCCATTCACAGATAGGAGGACAGAAGCTCCCCTTGATTGGGTTGAGGATGGACACTGAAGTTTGATCCAACAAATAGAACGAGCCTTTTTGGATCCCAAAGCAGGTCTGGTGCTGACTCTATCAGAGGCTCCATGGGTATAAAATATATCAAGGACTAGTCTGGGAGAGAAGGAAGCTGCTTCCTTTCTGGGATGAAGGCACAAGACCTTGACACTACAGCAGCACAAAATGCCATCTTGTGAAGGCTGGAACATGGCCATGGCCTGCTGTACATATGAGGGGACCTTGTAGCCCTCTCTTACTGTATACACATGATAGTCTCCTCCATGACCACTTGCAAATCTTCACAGCAGTATGCTTGGATTGAAAACCAACATTCTCACCCCGTCCCAGGTGGAAACACTGAGGCAGAGCACGCAGGACTTCCACTGTGAAGCACAACTGCGTGGAGCCAAGCCCTTCTCCAGGCCACTGGCTTAGTTGGCCTGTGAACTCCTTCTCCCACTTGGGTGCTCCAGGGTACACCCACCTTTTCTTTCTCCCCCATGCTAAGCCCTCACAGCACACAGGTAGAGCCATCCCTGATCTGGGTGAGTAGAGTTCAGCAAGGTTTGCTGGGCACAGCTGAAAGCAGTGGCCATTCCTGGCCCTGCCTGGCCTCACTTGTCATTGTCAAGCATACAGAAGAGAATTCTGAGGGCTGCTGTCCTGATGTTGCAAGGAGCAGCTGTCTCCTTCAAAGAGCAGCACTCTCCAGGCCTGGACGAAGGTGCGGCATGCGGTCCCCCGAAGCCAAGGGCAGCTGCTGTTGTCAGCAGATAGGCAGCTCCACTTCTGTTCCCCACCACACACCTTGCTTCCCATATGCCAAACAGCTGCTTCCTCCAGTCTGCTGGATGTTGACTTTGACCCTGAGCACCAGAGTGTGCTCCTCCTGGGCACTGAGCCCAGGCAGGGCAGAGGGTGAGACCCCAACACAGCCAGCTTCCTCTTGGAAGCTCTTCCACCTGTCTTCTCCATCACAATTCTAGGGCTTCCCATCTCTCTGAACTCTAGTTTGCACCTGCATCCCAAAGGTGGGGTGGAAACAGGTAGAGGAGAGGGAGAACAGGGCAGCTTAGAAGGTAATGTGCTCAGGGTGCAGTCTATGGTGACGCCTGTGCTAGTGCTTGAGCTTTCATCCCAACACCCTTCCCTATCCCTTAAAGACCTTGATGCTGTTGGCTCATGATGCATGTCCACAGAGTTCCAGGACAGCAGAGGTGCAAGACCAAGAAGCAGAAGCAAGAACTCACAGCCACACTGCTCACATGAGTCAGTGGGGCTCCTGAGATCAGAGGGTAAGCTACCCCAAAGGAGACCCAGCTGTCTTTATCCAGGAAAAGGAAAGCCTATCACAATAAGGCTCCTTAGGGGAAAAGTAACCAGAGTCATGCTTCCTGCCTAAGCACTGGGCCACACTAGCCCCCAGCATAACAAAGAAATGTAACACTTTCCAAAGTCTGCCATTTTGCAGCATGTGATCTGGAAGGTGCCTTTAAGGTCTTGTTTCCAACACTGTCTCAACAAGGTACATCTAACTTGTTTAAAGAGCTAGAGCAGCAGGGAGTGCATGGTAGACCAAGAGGTGCTCCTGAATCAGCTTCCTGGCACCAAGGATCACAGGGCATCTACCAGCCTCCAAGCTTGAACCAGGGTCTCCCTCAGACACAAATCCCCAGACCTTCTTTCCTGTCCCCAGTCTCCTCCTCAGGTTAGGTAAGAGAGGCCGCTCTTGGCGGGATTCTAGTTATTCTGTATCCGTATTCCTGTTCCTACTGCCCTTCTAGGGCATCTTTTCTCTTCTGTCTGCAAAGGTCAACCTGGAACCCTGTCCAGATGCTAACTCATGGATCACATCAACCATGTGTGGACAATGTCCACACTCGCACCTGGGGTAAGAAGCATCTGCCAACAAGGGCTGGCCCTCAGGGACCACTTCTTTACTGCTGGCTGACTGACAACCAGGGGATCAGACCCTAGAGCTAGTGGGATGCACAGCTAGGGCAGCACAGTACCACACAGGCTTAAGAGGAAAACAATACATTTTTCAACTGATTTCTTCATACCAACTCTAAAATCTTTTTTGAATGTGTGCTTCAATTTGAAAGGTTTTCTCTCCTCACCTCTGGCTTCCTTCTTTTGCCATTTCCTCAAAATTCTCTCTCAAGAAGAGTGAACAGTCACCTGCTAGGTATGTACAAAATTATGCAGGTGTGAAATCAAGGGAAAAACAATGCTGAAGTTCATACCTGAGGATGTTTCCAATAAGATGCTCATACCAAGACACTGTATATTTGATTAAAAAATAGAAAATTCTATTATAAGAAAATAAAATTACTGTGGCAATACTTTCCCAATCCAGCTCTGAGTCACGTAAGCTTGTCTTTCCTAAATGACACCTGGGTGCCTCACTAACAATATAGTACAGGTAACAGCCAAATATGACCCAATTTTCTAAAGCTACATTCTTGCTTTTCCCACTAACTCTTAGAATGGTTTTCTATTTTAAAATTATCAAAATAGAACTTTTCATCTATTGAGCATGCAATTTCACCCAATTGTGAATGAACTATTCAGACTACAGACTTCTACCAAGAACCACTCAGAGGGTAAGCCCTCACGGTGACTTCCTGAGTTCTTCCAGAAACCTACCCTGGAGACCCAGGGGCCTTAGGAGAAGCAGAGCTTGGAAAACTGTGATCAATTTTTTGATAATGAAAAAAAGTAACTTTCCAAAGCACATGTCCACAACATAAAGCTTTAAAGAGTTAACATCCACTTAACACTTGGTCATAAGAAAAATGAGGCCCTTGATGCTTAAGGAAAGTGCAAGGAGTAATTAATTTGGGAGGCCTCTCTGGGAAAAGGTACGCAGGGCCACATATCTGTCACTGCTACCGTGATAGGCACTCGGCTGCCCCTGTGCAGGCTGATGGCTGCAGCCTCTCCTCAGTCTGTCAGGGACTACTGAATTCACAGCATTTCCTGTTCAACTCTGCCTCAATCAAAGGACCCCGAACTCCTCACTTCTGTTCATGCCCCTACGCTAATGATACAGAAATATTGGTTATCAATCTAAAGATATTCAGATATACCCTGCAAAGAAATACAAACCATTTCTGTGCCCATACAGTCCCACCACCATAAAAGGTAAAGGAATTCAGATTTCTTTAGCATTTTCTCAGCTTCAGTTTGCCTTCATCCTAAATGAGGTTCAGATTATAACCAAAATATATTTAAATATTCCAAAGGTATACTGAACCCAAGTTATCAAAAATGTAAACAAAATTTACCTAGCTTATATTTATGAACCATATTTTCAGGTTTTACTTTACCCTGGACTGATACTCTGAAGAAAACTGACCAAAGTTCTACAACCCTGCAAGCTGATTTTGACTTTAAAGTGTTTCCTTGCAGATAACTGCAAATTACTAAAACTAGCATTATGGAATCCAGTGGTTTACTGTATCATTCAGTTTAGAAGACCAAAGTACCCCCACTCTAATCCATTAGTGATGCTCTCTGCGTGAGCACCAGCTTTGCCCCCCCACCCCCCAGCACATGCTTAGCTGGTGGTTGGTTCTGCACAAATGCTCCACACAGACCAAGACTAGGAATCAACAGCCTCAGGACCTCCAGAGGCACCTGCCAGAATCTGTGATCTTGGGTTTTAGTCCAATTTGGCTGAAGGGAACTTCAAGGATGGAAACTTGAGGTGAAGTGGAAAAGCAGGAGTGGAAACGAATCAAGGAGAATCAAGGATCCATCCAAGGTCTGGTGCCATCCTCACACTCCACAATCAGACTGCTTCTCCTGAAGCTGCCTCGTCAGTATCTGATGTGAAGACAGAAAAGCCACTCCTATGTGGAACAGGATTTGCCAGAGGTTCCTCAGTCCATGCAGGTACACATTGCCCAGGCAGATGAAGGCCAGCATCAGCAGCACCTTCACAGTCCTGGCTGGACTGTAGAACAGGTACAAATAACACTGAAATGAAACCACATGACATGCAATCAGAGATTGGCAGACAGCCTCAAGATCAGATGCAGGGTTCCCCCTTCCAGCAATCAGAAACCGGGTCATCTGACACCCATTTGCTTATTAACTAAATTCACTATGATGAAGCTGGAACCCAGTGGTCAGATGGCTGCTAATCACAGGATAAACAGGAAGATTCCAAAGAGATGAAGCAGAAGTCACAGGAAGAAGAAAGCAAAAGACCATAGACAGATGCCCAGGCTGGAGGTTGCAGACAATGGAGGGATGCAGTCTAGGAGCAGGCAGTCAGGCAGGAAGCCCCTCCCAAGATTCAGTGACCTCCCAGCGAAGGCCTTCGCAGGGAACTATGCCAGGAGAGCAAGCTGCAAGGGACAGTCAAGCTTTTCTTTGTGCTTCTCCTGAGTCACAGTCATAGAGGACCATAATTCCCTTGGGCTAGTAGTGAGTGCCACAGTTCTCTTGGGCCACTGAGTACTACAGTTCCCTTGGACTACTAAGTGCCACAGTTCCCTTGGGCCACTCTGAGTGTCACAGTTCCCTTGGGCAACCTCCCAAGTCTTCAAAAGCATCTCTGTCAAGGAAGGTCTTATAGCAGGGAGAGGGAGTGGCGCTGTGTGCAAGGCTACCACCCAGAAAGGGCTCCTCCTGTTCTCCAAAAGCTAGAGACAGACTTTTGGCTCATTATTGTTTTAAGCCACTCTCAGCACATGGAGCAATCCTGCAAAGGTAGCTACAGAGGGAGAAGAGTCCCTCACAAAAGGTGCTGTCCAATAGGACACAGCTTTAAAAAGGAAGGCAAAACTGAAGGTCCCTGCAATCCTGACACCCAGGCTAAAAAGGTGCACCAGCTGTGCCCATGGTTTGAGAGACTAGTTCTATAAAATAAATGTAAGCCAGGCATGGTGGCATATGCCTTCAATCCCAGCACTCGGGAGGCAGAGGCAGGTGGATCTCTGTGAGTTCAAGGTCAGCCTGGTCTACAAAGCGAGTTCCAGGTCAGCCAGGCCTACAAGGAGACCCTGTCTCAAAAAGACCAAATAAATAAATAAATATAGAAATAAGTAATTTCCAATCATGGGTTGAAAACCTGTTGTTAGGTAATTCTGTTCACTGGTTTTTGTTGTACACAGCTAGAGGTCCAATTTATATGTTCCAGCCTTGAGCAGCAATCCCCACACCCAAACATATACACAATCATGTATTCTTTTGAAGAAGCCATTCTAAGATGCATTTGGAAGAGTAGTAGCACTCTGAGAACAGGACATTTGAAAAAAAACCTTCAGAAGGGGCTATTCCAGCCCACAGGGGTGGGGGGTGGGGGCAGAGAGCAGGGGTCTACCAGAATTATCTCTGCTGCAGAGGATTCAGGCTCTCCTTTTAACACCACCCCTTAAATACACAGCTTATTTTAAAATAAATAACAATTAAAGCCCTCTGGATAATGCTCTACATTTTGTTTTATTTCTAAAGGGACAGATTAGAGTCAGAAGGCATTACTGTTTTAAAAAAAACTGCATTTTTTTTTACCCTAGCCATCTTTAAAAAGCGCAATCCTCACAACTGTTCCTGACGAAGACCATTTCTACACTTTAACTAACTGTAAGTGTAATGGCCTGCCCCATACTGGTCACAACCCCACATCTCCTCCAGTGGAGCTACATCAAGCTCCTGGTGTTTACAGCCTTCAGTGGTCCTGCAGCCCTGGGCTGGTGCCCAGCCCCACCTTTGTGAGCCCGAAGTTCTCCTGTGGGAAATGAGAGAACTGGGCAGGATGTGCTTAGTACTGCCCACTGTTTGAAACTTGCTGGCATACAAATAGATCTAGAAACCTTCAGAGAGTTCCATCAGAAGAAAAAAAGCCACACATGTGACCTGCTCACCCAGACATCTGCATCTCACCCACCTCACCTGGAAGATGCAGGCCCCAAAAGGGATAAGGAAAGCCAGGATGTTTCCGATTTCCTCCTGGGCAACCTGAAACACACAGGAGGAACACAGGAGAAGGACTGGGATGAAAGAAGACACTGCAGCACAGCTCTTTAGCCTCCTTCCTCTGGTGTGACTGACAGTACAAAGATCTGTGGCCAGATCCAGGGATGGCACATGACTGCTTGCAGTGGCTTAGACCCTGTGTACTCCTGACCCCAGGCATCTATGCTATAGCTTCAATTTAGAATAAACCCTAGGCCCCTGCACACAGAAATTCCCCTCACCTGTTAATGCCAACACGGGTGCACTTACATACATGCAGGCAATACAAGCATACACATAAAATTTTAAAAAAGGAAAAAAAAAGAATTAGAACCATTATTAGCATAAGTACATAGATACTACTTTAAAAAAATACTATTTTATTTTTTTTATTATTTATTTTAATTAAAAGAAGCATTTCATTACAACAGCATTACACAGAAATTCCCCTCACCTGTTAATGCCAACACGGGTGCACTTACATACATGCAGGCAATACAAGCATACACATAAAATTTTAAAAAAGGAAAAAAAAAGAATTAGAACCATTATTAGCATAAGTACATAGATACTACTTTAAAAAAATACTATTTTATTTTTTTTATTATTTATTTTAATTAAAAGAAGCATTTCATTACAACAGCATTAACCTATTCAATAACATTTTTCTGAGCTAGGGTACATCTCTTTCAAAATTGGCTGTACATTTCTAGGTTTACAGATGAATTATTACCCTTATATAATCTTTTACTCATTATAAACTCTATAAGACATAAAATTAAATGAGGTTCCAACAGCAGGATGACTCAGCAGTAAAGATACCTGCTACCATGCCTGATGACCTGAGTTCTATCCCCAGGACCCATGTGGTAGAAGAAGAGAATCAGCTCTCACAAGTTGTCCTCTAACTCCACACGTGGGCCATGACACGGGCACATACACATACACACACAC